ACACAGCCCCCACGCCTTTCTCACCCACGAATTTGTCTAATGATCTAATCTGCTTCTAATAGCACAATTAAGTGGGACGTTTACCTCCTCGAGGTCTCTGGGAATTATTAAATGGCAAGACCGAGGGGACTGGCTGGCACCCCAACTACCACAGCAAGAACGATGGTTGTGAAAACCAGAAATATCGTCGCACAATGAACATTAAATTCTGGTTCCTGAAAGCAGGGCCTGAAATAGTGCTAAATTGAGCCTTTTGACAAGTTTTCCTAATGAACCTAGAACCTATGTTTTTCTCCCTACCATAGTGTCATCTGCGGTATGTAATCGATATTGTTGCAATTAGTTGAGTACGTGAAACTAATAAAATGCAAATAAATAAGCAGAAGGAGAAATCACTGCTCCAGACACTGAACTGTATCAGACAATGTTTCTAATACCAGTTGCTGGAAATAAAAGGAGGATGTTTGCAGGTTTCCCAGTGCCGGATTTACATATAAGCTAAACAAGCTATAGCTCAGGGCCTCACTCTCTTGGGGGGGCCCCAAAAAATTAAAGGGGAAAAACCTGGATGTACATTTCCAAAATATAAGATAAAAAACAAATAAAATAAAACCTACATACAGCAACCGTGTTTTGTGTTGTGTAGGCTCCTATGATGTAAGTCACGGGCCCCGCCTGCTAGCCTGCTCCCTAAAATATCACTGCTTTGCTCATTTCTATATACAGCGGTACCTTGGTTCTCAAACTTAATCCGTTCCGGAAGTCCGTTCCAAAACCAAAGCGTTCCGAAACCAAGGCGCGCTTTCCCATAGAAGGTAATGCAAATCGGGTTAATCCGTTCCAGACTTTTAAAAGCAACCCCTAAAACAGCAATCGAACGTGCATTTTGCTATCTAATGGGACCACTGATCCATAAAATGAAAGCAATGATCAGTGTACTGTACTATAAAATTAATAATAATAATAATAATAATAATAATAATAATAATAATAATAGTAGTAATTTATTTATATCCCGCCCATCTGGTTGGGCTTCGCCAGCCACTCTGGGCGGCTTTCAACAAAATATTAAAATACAGTAATGCATCAAACATTAAAAGCTTCCCTTAAGAGTGCTGCCTTCAGATGTCTTCTAATAAACAAATAATAAATTAAATAAATAAATAAATAAAAAATGAGTAAAATAAATGAATAAATAAATATCATTGTAGATGATAAAAATGAAAATGATTTTTTTCCCCCTTGCCTGCATTGATGATAGTCATTGTTTGGATGGGGGGCTTTTATCCATATCAAGGGCCCCATTACCTTCAGGAGCTTAGGGCCTCATCAAACCTAAATCTGGCCCTGAGGTTTCCCGTCATCAGAGCTGGCTCAGCCGGGAGGCAAGGGAGGGTGCTGCTTCAGGCAGCAGAAGCTATCAAGGTGGCACATCCATGGGTGCCCTGCCTGATCGCCACCTCTGCCAGTGTTGGAGAAGCACCACTGCCAGTGGCACCGATTTTGGGGACAATCACGGCCCATTTGGAGCAAGATCTGCTTGGCCACTGTGACGACAGGATGCATGTTTAGATGGGCAGTGGACCTGATCCGGAAATGATCTTTTCCTGTGCTGAGTCGAGGCTGGCGTAAGTCCCCCCCCAAAGGGGGCATGGAAGAGGCAGGATTAGAGATGGTGACAGAGGTCGGATCCTAAGCCCATTCAGAGGAGTCACGGAGCAGAGCACGATTTAAAAGTTTTTATTTTCTGTCTGCCAGGCTTAGTAGCCCCGTCGGTGACTGGGGTTTGGATCTGGTGTAAATTTACGCCGGCTTAATTTACGACACTTTGCTCTATGCCCCTTTCTTGTGCATAGGGATTGCTCGCTTACAGTCAGTGGGCTTACTCTGAGTAGGGCTGACACTGCATACGGCCTGAAATCATGAATAAATATGCCAACGAGTATTAAAAGTTAAATTCCAGTTTATAGCATCAGCAAGATTAGGACAGAGCTACTATATAAATCCTGTATTTATTTATTAATTTATTTAAAAAAGGAATATTACTTATTTTTACTTTTCATTTAATACAATTCATACATTTTATTCATTCTAAACCCTCAAAGAGGTAAAAAGAATTACGATGGAATTTGATATGCATTTAGGCCCTCAAAACTATTACGATAACTCTCCGGCAATCGGTTTAGGGGATTTTCATTGCCGAGGTGAAAAACCGGGTTCAAGAAGATGTCCCGGGAGATTGCTGCCTGTAGTTTATGTGGTTAGGCAGAACGGCGACTGTTGAGATAAATGTGCCTCGAGAGATGCTCTCTATTTAAGAAAGCCCAGATTTTGCATTCAGGTCCATGCTCTTGAAATCTCAGTCGTTAACATCTGGCAAAACACTCTCTGCAGCCGATGAAATACTTAGCCCTACCGCCTTGCAGAGAACTCCCCCGACCCGAAAGGACCCTATAGCAAATACAAAGTCACTGCTGTCTTGTTTTTATTGATAATTGTATTCAGCTAAGATGCCTCCATCATCTGCAACAGAAGAAGGGAGCTGAAATATCACCATGGTTTGCTTAGGGAAATATCAAATATAATTGAAACATTCTGTTTTAGTGGCACAGGGCAAGTTTAAGAATGCAATGACTGGAAATGGAAATCTGTCGTATCCTGAATCAAATCCATTGATCCATCTTAGTCCAGAACTGTCTGCTTTGATTGACAGTGTTTCTCCAGTGGGGCTTTCCCAAATTTGCGACCCGAGTTTGTACGTGTCTGTTGTCTGTGTGCGGATGTGTGCATTACTATTATAAACCTTGCAGAATTGGGACACATAAATGCTATCTATAAATAATAACCAGACATATCACAGCCATCCATAGTCTTCTTTTTAGCCAGCACCTCTAAAGGGTCTCCAAAGTTGTGGACTTACTCGAGAGTAAGGCTCTTTAAGCTCAGCGTCACTTCCCTCGCCCCACAAAATCAGAACAGAACCAGGAAGCACATTTTCTCTTTGGTTAACTATTTGCCTCTGGAATAAAAAAAATAAAAAAATTGTCTAGTAGCACCTTATAGACCAACTAATTTTGTTTTGGGTATAAGCTTTCATGTGCATGCACACTTCTTCAGATACACTGAAACAGAAGTCACCAGACCCTTATATATAGTGGGAGGGTGGGGTTTTAGGAGATGGGTGATTGACTCAGTGGGTATGGTCAACCTGTTGATGACTGTTAATGACTGCAATTAGTCCTACAGGAAAAAGCAAGGGATAGTATGCAGATGATTAGCATATGTAATGAGACAGGAATCCAATATCTCTATTCAGACCAGGGCTCTCCATAGTTTTCAGTTTAGTGATAAGTTGTAATTCAGCAACTTCTCTTTCAAGTCTGTTTCTGAAATTCTTTTGTAATAAGACAGCTGCATGGAGATCCTGTATTGAATGTCCTGGGAGACTGAAATGTTCTCCTACTCTGTCTTGCGATTCCTGATGTCAGATTTATGTCCACTTATCCTTTGGCGTAGGGTTTGTCCTGTTTGTCCAATATAGAGAGCTGAAGGGCACTGCTGGCATTTGATGGCATGCACAATGTTAGAAGGTGAGCAATTATTTGCCTCTGTTGAGAGAGGCAGTGTGGTGTAGTGGTTAGATTGGTTGGACTAAGGGCTGGGAGATACCAGTGCCAGGGCCATGAAGCTCGCTGGGGGTCACCGTGGGCGCCAGTCTCCACCTTTCAGCCTGTCCTACCTTGTCAGGCTGTTGTGGGGATTAAATGAGGAGGGGAACAAGGCACGTATTTCCACCTTGAGCTCCTTGTGGGGGGGGAGAGAAGAGGCTATAAATGCAATAAATACATGAAATAATAAATGAATAAGTCTCTGAGAATCATGAAACGGCAAGGAAATTCCTTCCTGTGCACAACTGGCCTCTGTGCCAGTTATTGCAGGAAAGAAAGAAAGAAAGAAAGAAAGAAAGAAAGAAAGAAAGAAAGAAAGAAAGAAGTAAATAAATCAAATTGGAAATGTATTTCACCACACACTGGATAAGAAAATTTGGGATGGGATGAGTCAAGGGTGTATTTCAAAAGAGGACTTGCTTAATCAGTTATCAATTGATTACGCATTTTACGAGGGGAGGGGGAAATCCCTGCTGGCTTCAATAATTTGAATGTGAAGATACCCTTAATGATCAGAGAGTAAATGGGATTTGGTCCTCCCTCGGCTCAATTGATACATAGTGATTAACTGTGGCACAGAATTCAAAACGGTACGATCAAAGTTTATTCAACTATAATATATGGTACTTACATCATTATCTGTCTCGAAATAATGTCCAGCAAAATAGGACATTGTGCGGGGGAGAAGCATTATGGGATCAGAGTTGTGCAAGAACTTCACGAAGGAATTTCCCTTAGAGAAAAGCCATTGTGGGATGCTTTGCAAATTTGCATTTCGCACTGCATGAATTGGATAAAATATACAGAGAGCGCTTTAATAAACCCTGGTGGTGCAACTGTTTGTTTGCAGTTTTCCTACACATCTGTAGAACGGACCACAATATTATTGAGTTTAGAAATTAGCATGTTTATTCCAAAGTCCCGCTGAGTTCGATAGGACTTACTCTCAGATCGGTGTGAGTAGGATTGCAGTTGAAAGGAAAATAAAATTAATGAGACTGTGGGTTTTCTCGTCAGATCTATTGGCTGGGTTATTTAGATTTATTAGGCAGAGCACAACTCCTTTACTGATTCCCCAAGCTTCAGGCAGCGACCAAGATAATCGTTGCAAAGAATCGGTGTTGCAGTACATCTCCATCTGTCAAAGTGTGGCACGTCACGCAAATGTCAAAACTTAGCAGAAATAATTTAACTCAGAGAAAGAAGACAAGAGAAGATACAGTTTTGTCAATATATCTCATGTTTATTCATTGAGCTCTGGAAAACTAGTCATGGTATTTTGATATTTCCAACACATTTCTGTTATAATTTCTAAATGCTGCGTTTTCCACTTTAATATTCTGGATTTATTTTCTTTTATTGATTTATGAACAAAGGGCAAACATAACAAAAAGAAGAAGAAGAAAAACAAAAAATCAGACATTTAAACCACAAAGCGTCACAGTCTGAAAGGGCACAAAGGTACAGGGAAGCTCCGAATAAATAATAATATATTAACTCGTGCAAAGATTCCCTTCGCAAATAATAAAGATTTATAAAATAAAAGCATTCTCCACTGGTGTGAGTCCCATCGAGAATAAAGGTTCTATCTCGTCTTAAATGAGCCAGACCTTTGTATATGCTGGCAGTACCACTTAGTGCCTCAGTATTTGTATATGGAATAAAATCATGCCATCAAGTTCTTTAGATACTTTCAGTTTCTGAGATATCTTTTCCAGAAGGGCAATTTGCCAAACCTTTGAATACCAGCGGTCCAAATGGTTAAGCTTAAATGTATTCCTACATTTGTCCAAACAACCAGAGAGGGGGAAATGAAAGAGGGGGAAATGAGGCGGTGATGGAATATTCACCCTGGCGATATACCGTACTTTTCCATGTATAAGACTATGTGGTTTTTTTTAACTCTACAATAATGCTCAAAATCTGGGCTCGTCTTATACACGGATAGTATCTCCCCCCATTTTCTTAAATCGGAGTCCCAAAAAATAAGGGGAGTCTTATACATGGGGGCGTCTTATAGACGGGAAAATAAGGCACTTAAAGCACAGATCATTCAGGACAAATGGCTGGCCTCTAATAGCAGAAATTTCTTTATATAAATCTGCCTACATCCTCCCAGATCGTAATACTCCATGTGGAACTTCACCCAGGATGGATCATTACCAAAGTTCAGTTGGAGAGATGGAGAGGACTGTGCCTTTCCTTCATAGGAAAAACCGAAGGCTCATTCTGGATCAGGCCATTTGCCCACCGAATCCAGCATCTTCTGCCCAAGCAGATTCTCCACCAGCAGGGTGTGGGGCCCTCAGAATGCCCCCTCCCCAATATTTGTGCTTGAGCGTTTGGCATTTGGAGGTATATAGCCTCTGCAAATGGAAGTCCTTTTTAAAAAAAAAAAAAAAAAAAGCCGTCACGCCTAATAAACAAAAGCTTTTAAGGGATTGTCGCCACGAAGCAGCCACAATTAGCTTCCTCACCTCTGAGGTAGCAAAGGGTTTTCTGGTTTAAAAAGCCTAACTTCCAGGAATGCTCAAACCACGCCTCTCGTTGCAGAAAGGCGTTTGTGACACATGCATGCTCTTAGGGGAAGAAAACGATGGGGTCTGTTCAGTGCCAGATTCACATATAAACTAAACAAGCTCTAGCTTAGGGCCCCACTCTCTTGGGGGTCCCCCAAAAAATTAAAGGAAGAAAAAAAACCCCTGGATGTACATTTCCAAGATAAAAGACGAATAAAATAAAACCTACATATAGCAACAGTGTTTTGTGTTGTGTAGGCTCCTATGAGGTCCATAAATTACCATATAGCATACATTCAACACAAAAAACAGTGGCAATTTGTTGTTGACAAAGGACAGCTGGACATAGAAAGGGCCCCATTACCTTCAGTAGGTGAGGGCCTCATCAAACCTAAATGTGGCCCTGGGTCTGCTCATAGGAAGGGTTCTGTTTGGAGATGCAAAGTTCTACATGTATTAAGTCCTAAATTCAGCACCCAGGTTGTCCCCTGCAGTGATCCTAAGGTCTGTCCCCTGCCCAAGGGCTATAGGATCTGGGGTGGGAACATTTGCATCCCTGCAAGAAGCTCTGAAGGCATACAGATCTTCTCTATCCCAGCTTTAGACTCAGCACCAGGTTAAGCAATGGTGGATGTATCTAAATCAGCCAGTCCACTCGTTTAAATGATCTAAAACACTGGTTACCAAATTGGGTGGTAGTTACCTAGGTGATGTTAAGAGGCAAGGGGGGGGCGGTCCCGGAGGTATAAATGACTATCAGAAAAGTTGGATCATCAATTTTGTTGAATTAAACAAATTAGTTTTAATTGGATTTTGGATAACCGTGCAATTAATTGTTACTGTTTTTGAATTGTATTGCTTAGTGAGTTGTGCAAACTGCTGTTCTGAATAATGCCTTTTATAGAGTTGGGTAAGGGGCACGAGGAGATGAGCTTATGGGAACAAGGGGCCTGGAAAAGTTTGGGCTGCATCATACGAAGGAACACAATATGGTGCTTTTGCAAAAGTTCAGCTTTAGTGCATCACCCATCTCAAAACAATTCTGCCGTCACTGGTGTTATAGACTAGAATGCTGTTTTGGAGATCAATTGGAGGCTTGCTCTCAGCTAATTATTTAAGTGCATCTGTAGTCCAGGCAAGGAGCAGAAAAGCAAACCCTAGCAGCTTGGTTACATGCATTGCTGATGCTATAAAACCAGAAGACACATAATATTAAAAAAAATAAAAATCATACGGCCATGTGATGTTTATGTACATTAAGCAAGCAAGCAAGCAAGCAAGCAAGCAAGCAGGCAGTTAAAAACTGAACATCAGGGAGATAAGATCTTGGGACACCTCATGCAGTCTGCTGTGAATTATACCGACGCTTGGGAACAAACAAATAAGAAAGGTAGTAGCAGGAGAAAATTATATGTCAGACCTGGAAATAGCATAGGGGCTGTACAGAAAGCCGCCACCCAGCCTCAAACTTTTTTAAAAGAAGAAGAAGAGGAGGAGGAAAAAGAAGGAGGCTAGATTGAATGCAAAATAAGGCTGAAGTGCTCACTAATTGGACAAATAGCAGGCAACAGGGCTCTCCCTAATGTGCAAACAATCCACATTTTGGCTAGGATGCTCAAGAGGCAGCTAGTACAAATCCGGTAGTGCAATAGTTACATTGTTTTGGCATATCGAGGGATGGAGGGGGATAACAAGGGTGGGTGCCCTTCTTCGCATTTTGTGGCCTCATGAGAAGCAGAAAAAGAGGAAACGTTCAATTTTTTTTAAAAAAACAACAACCTGACACCATTAAAATGTAGCCCATAATATTCACCAGTGCAAGGACAAAGGCAGATGGGTTTTATATCCACCAGATAATATGCGTGGAATATGCCCACTCTGTTCTTAATCTGGGTTAATCAGTCAGGAATGACTATCGGTTTCACCTATGCACTCACATTCCTTATTATATATCTTTGGATAGTAACCACCAGTGCTTTTCTTCTAGAAAAAATGGTACTGGTACTCGCCGTTACTGTCAGTGCCACATTTTTAACCAGTGCTTCTCTTCCAGATATAATGGTGCCAGTACTGCATACCTTTGAGTATCCGCAGAAATAATAATAATAGTAATAATAATACATGATCCGAAGACTCATGAGGCTACCTCATTGCAGATGCTAAACATGTCTTCTTGCCATAATCCAGGTGGGAGACTTCTGGGGAACCCCTTGTACATTGCCTTGGCTTCTAAAAGTGGGATATAAATCAAAGTTTTAAATTTTAAAAAAATGCATGGATTAAAATTCCAGAGATAATTTCCCATAAATAATTTTTGTGGTCTGGAAGAGATGAAAATCTCCTTTCCCTCTGTGCATCACATAAATCACTTTGAGGGTCTATAAACCACAGTGGAGATGTGCTACAGGGCAACTTATCAACCTAGTTTATGAGCCCGTGTTCCCTGAATAGGTTAATGCTTCCCCTCCCAAAAATTGTTGCAATTGAAGATGTAATTGGGTTATTAAAATACGCATTCTTCTCTCGCTTTCGTGGGGGGAAAGAGTGAGGAACATAGGTGGAGGTTAATTTTGAAAATAGGAAGGAGAAAAAGAAGAAGAAACATATTGCAAGTTCCATTATGTCCTGCTACGGAAGGTAGGGTTGATTGCATGTAATGACAGCTGTCACGTTACCCCATGGGCCTTGCTGTCAGGCCTCCACCTCAGAGAGTGAAAGGTGTGCATCCGTCACAACCAAGGACAGGACAGCAGTCAACACAACACAAACATGCAACCGGTTTAATTTCCCGTGAGCTGTCCTGCTCCATTTGGAAGGGCTTTGCTTTATTTTGGAACTGGACTCATTCTGCTCCCTAGAACTGCACATTATTCTATTGTTGCTCCTGCCCTTAAACCATGTGGTGAAGAACCAGGAAGAAAACCGAGGAATAAATTCGGCAGCTTTCCTTCAGGGTCTCGGAGATCACCCTATCTAAGGCCAGTTCCTCTTGGACTTGTGAGATCACTGAACAGCCTTCGTCGGGTTTGGGACGGCCGTAGAGCCAAAACAGGCTTGCTGTTTCCAAAAGTGCAGCCCGAACAAAACGGCTGCTAACTCTTCCCTGAATGCTCGAATATTTGCCATGCAATATTCACTAGATATTTCTTAACTTGCATTGAAACCAGCCTCGTGATTATTTGATCCCAAACCTTTTGATGACTGCCAGTCGACACTGTTTGATAGCTGACAAGCGATGCTGTTTGTTAGGAGAGCAAGGCCCAGCATTTAGCACTTGACAGCTGACAGCTTACGGGATTTCACATTTCATGCCTGCCAGTGCAACCGGCAAGACACCCACAAGGCTAGGGTTTCCAATTTTGAAAAGCTTCACATTCAGATTTCTAATGCCGGAGATTCCAATTTGGGACTTGATTGAAGTTTGGAGATTTGCAAACACTTCTTTTGAGTTCTAGACAGTCGCATGGTTTCTCTTGTTTGCCCCTCCCAATGTCCCTGCTCTCAGTTTTTGGAGGCACTGTGGCATGCAAAATGGACTCCATCAGTTATTCACCCGGAGATCATCAAGCTAAAGATCTGCTCCATCTGTACCATACAATTTGGGTGAGGGGAAACAAGAGAATGTACAGTGGTACCTCGGGCGAAGAACTTAATTCGTTCTGGAGGTTTGTTCTTAACCTGAAACTGTTCTTAACCTGAAGCACCACTTTAGCTAATGGGACCTCCCATTGCCACCGTGCGATTTCTGTTCTCATCCTGAAGCAAAGTTCTTAACCCGAAGTACTATTTCTGGGTTAGCGGAGTCTGTAACCTGAAGCGTCTGTAACCCGAGGTACCACTGTATCAAAATAGAAATTATTTGCAGTTGCAAAAGCATAACAGAATTGTTCCGTAAGAATCAATCGTGACTTTAAAATGTGGATTTCATAATCTGTGCTTCAGTCCCCTTGGGAAAAGATCCCATGACTGGGCCATCGTTACAAATTATCTGTGCCTTTTTGGTGATTTAGGCACCATCCTTCAGAGGACACATCATTTGCTTAATTCCTCCAATCGAAAAAAACAAGTTTAGTGACAGGATGTCAGCTTATTTAAAGGGATGAATTTGAGTGTAAATCTGCTCCGAGAAGCAGCACTCTGGCTAAGCTCCTCCAAGGCACATTGAAATCATTGGGATTTACTTCCAAGTAAACATGCTCACGTCTCAACAGCATCATCGAACGCTCCTGCGTTTAAGTCATTTGCTGGATCAGTAAAGCTTTGGGGAGGAGGGTTATTTTGAGGGTGCTTGCTGGGGTCCTGCAACGTACATTTTAACCTGACGGCTCATCGAACGGTCACTTAAGAGCACGACAATTAAATGGCTAAAATGTTTTGTGCCATCCCTGCACAGAGCTTTTCCAGGAAGGGAAACAGCAGGCTAACTTCTCCGAATGCGAGGCCAGGGAGTGGGCAGGCAGGAATGAGCCATTTGGCTGGGAAGCCAAGGCTCAAATATGCCCTTTTTAATTTTCATCCGATCAGAAATAGCAGCTCCAACCCAAATGCAAAGCAGATGCCCACTTGTTGATGATGTTGTTGTTGTTGTGGGTTTTTTCCTGCACGCAGAGCCAACCCATCCCCGCTGGCCACAGTGGATGTCCTACACCCCATTCTCTCCTGATTGCTCTCAGATGAAACAAAAGCCCCTCCATTCACTTATATGGGAAAATCAGTGACTTATCCGGCAGGGTCCTGGAGTGAAAGCTAAATTCCCTCCTCAGCTGCATGAAGGAAAATTGATGGAGAGGGCAGGATCCACAGTGAGAGCTGGATGAAAATATATAGATGAACCAGCTGGAGACAGAACTAAGATTTAAAAAATATAAGGGACCTTATTGATTATATTTCAGGAGGGGTGGGTGGGCAAAATGGTCAGTTTCAGTTTCCTTCAGTTTCTCATTTTTTGCCAATGTTAAATTCAGTTCACGTTTCCATATCAGTTTTTATTTTTTAAAAAAACACTTTTCAAAGTTTTCATAAATATTCATCGCCACTGCAAATATCTCCTAATATACACAATTGTGCATGAAGGTCTGCCTAATAAACATATTTTTTTGCAAAAACATTTCCCTCCTATACATCCTGCAGTATCATGTAAGACTCAGACAGTTCTGCTGTTAGTTTCTGTGAGACAAGGACTGGAAATCTAAAGGGCAAATGCCAACATTAACTAACTAACTAACTAACTAACTAACTAACTAACTTTCTATACCGCCCTTCATCTGAAGATCACAGTGTAATTTACAATATAATGTAAAAGAGATTTGTTATAACAGTGCATGAGGTATAGCTCTCTCGAAACATCGAAACATCTCTTGAAACATTTAACCACTGCTGAGTAATTCAAGGGGAGACTGAACTCAGCTTGTTTGATAAAGAATAATATCCCTTCTTAAAGTTTATTAATGGTGGAGGTGAGTTTAGAGAGCCTCCAGTGATTCAGTCATCTTCATGGCAGTTTTATTTGAAAATATTAGTGACTTAGTTTGGTGTATAGCAGACTTAATATTGTCTGTAATTCTGTTGCATTGCATCGTGCCAGAGTTGTCCATGATTTTTCTCTTTTGCTACTACTGAAAAGAATGTTATGATTTCTTTAAGAAAGAAAAAAGCCAGTAATGTATGCCTTTAATGCATACTTTGCCCCAGGATATGCATTTCCGTACACATTACTCGACTGTAGAACTGCCTTGCAAAATTCAGAAAAGTGCAAATTTTGAAGGATACTTCCACTTTTCGGTTTGCTTATTATTCAGAGAAAGTGTGAATTAGGTCGGTTTGCCTTTAAATGCAAAACCGAACTGAATTTCTCCCTCATCTCCAGTATGCATGGTGGGTGGTCGAATTCCATAGCCACCTATCGATCAAGGCTATACCTTTTTACCCCATATACACTTTCCTTTGCATTTATATTGTGCCTTTCCAGGGCTCTCAATGTTGTTCATCTCGGTAAGACAATTACCCCTTGCAGTCAACTGTGTGAGGGCATTCAGTCTCGCGAGTCCCATATTAAAAACGGCAGGTTCCGCTTTCAAAGTGGGGAATGGGGTGTAACAAAGATGGGGACCCTCCCAGATACTTAGAATCATAGAACCGTACAGTTGGGAGGGACCCTAAGAGTCATCTAGTCCAGCCCCAATGCAATGCAGGGATCTCAGCTAAAGCATCCCTGACAGATCCTTATGGAGACGACACCTTGCAGGGATATTTGCAAACACTGGGACTTCAAAGCAAGTGATGGGGAAAATGGCAAAATCAGATATTCCTCCCCATTCTTTTCTCTTTTGCACAGAGGGGCTATTGCAAAGAAACAATACCAAATCTTCCTACCCAAATCCTTTTCTCAGGGCCTCTCTACCGAGGCTTTAAAAACATGGAAGCAGGTGCAATGTGTGTGTTTGTGTGCACTTGCTAAAAGACGCTCGCTTTGCAGGGTTGATGGGCTTGGGGGGGGGCAGGGGGAGGAATCTGGTCCCTTGAGAACAGCGCTTGAAACCCAGCTGGGAATTTGCAAAGGCGATTCATGGCTTCTTCCTCCTGCTCTGCAGTGCCCCCTCTGGCTACTTTAGGAACACTACCCTCTGACCTCTGAAGGGGAATGGCTTTGAAGAATAATACATTTCTTCCCCACTTAAAATCAGCCTATAGGGAGGAAATATTAGGCTGCGGGCAGACGATGGCACACAGGGAGGAGTGCAAATAGGAGGCGCACTCAAAGCCTTGAGGTCCATTTTACTTGGGGCGCAGGCAGACATCCAAGTAAATAATTTCAGCCAGTTTGGTCCATTATTTACAACACACATATGCATTTATATTCTTTTTGGCTCTGTATTGGCTGACATCCTGTCATCTAGTGGGTGGGAGCATGGTTCGCAATAATGAATTTGAAACGAGTTTTCATACTCCAAGGAAACACAATAGGAATTTTGTCTCCCCCTTCAAAGTGCGATTGTGCTAAAGCATTAAGGTGGTCAATGTCAAACCGTTCAAACAGCCCATTTACTGCCTCAAACTCGAGAGATTTAAATTTCAGGAAAATATAGATTTTTATTTTCAGGAAAATAATGACTTGTAACTATAGTTGTTATCTATCTGCACACAAGCAAACAAATGCAAGGACAAATCGTCCCTCTGATTTATGGCTCTATTTGCAGACATCCACCAAAACATTGTGCCCTTTGCTCTGCAATCGACAAAATGAGATAAATCCATGTTCCTGAATTGCAATTTTTCTTAAACTGCATTCAAAGTCTGAATTCTCTGCAAGCCATTAATCGTTGGAAGGTGCATAACCCCCAAATCATGCGTATTTCTTCCTTTCTCAAAGATCTGAGAGGATCTATGCAATATTTATACTGAGAATTAAACACACACACTGAAGTTACAGCTGAGTGTTTCAAACAATTTGCATGTCATTTAATCAGTTTCCCTAAGCAATCTGATTAGCCAGTGTGACTGTGCTGTGATTCAAACTTGGAGAGATTGTTGTAAACAAATTCCCATTCATAGTTTATCGAGCTTCCTTGATTCTCTTCCCCTCCCCCTTCTGTCAAAGGGGGGGGGGAGAGTTTAAGAGAGAAAGAGTCACTAAGCTATTTATAGATCCTCCCCCAATCTCATAACAATTAGAGGTTTATTATCATTAAATAAACAAATAATTGAGAACTCCGCTTGATAGGACAGCATGCTGGTTAGGCCCTGATACAGTGAAAGTCGGAAAGACATCTGCATCGTCATAAGTTCCAAAACAAGAACAACACCACCTTTTATCCTCAAAGTTTCGGCAAACCGTCTTCCCCCTCCATGCCCCCTCCCAGGCCATGCAGAGATACATATATATATTTACAATCTATTTAGCTTGATAAAACCCAACAGGCCACACATGTTTCCAGGTCTAAAGTCTCCTTCAACAGTTAAAAAGAAGGGAGGCCTTTTCACACAAACACACCCGCAGTTCTGAAATGCTACAAAGCGAACAAATAATCCCCCCCCCCCAAAAAAAAATTCCTAGCAATAATTTTAAAATAAAGGCTTTGCAGAGACTCTGGAGCACGCAGAACGATCCACATTAAACTGCTCTCATTTCTAATCAAGGACAAGCTTTCGAGGCAGAAAACTGTTTTGACAGCCAGGGATTCCCAAACCCTGGTTTCATTTTACATTTGCTCCAGATGGAACACTCCCCCCCCCCAAACACACACAACTCCCCTTCAAAGCCAGAGATCTGCTATGACCCAGCCTGCAGGGCACAAGGGGGTATGGATCTCCCCTCCCCCGTCACCCAGCTGCCCACCCCACAGCTGCAACCCAGGCGTGGGTGCTGAAAGGCCCGCTTGCGGTTCCACGATAAGCAAAGTGGGCTGCTTCTGCAACTTTTCCTCTTGCCTTCCCCACTGCAAAGGAGTGAAAGGAGCTGGTCCATTTGGGAGCCCCCGAAGGCCCACAATCTGAACAGGGGATAGGGGAAAAGTGAAGCGTCCCAGAACCGAACCACCACGCCAGAATCCTTCAGAAAAATAAGCCGAGTGAGTCCTCCCAGCAAATTGAGTTTGATCAAGAGTCCTCGATTTATAGGAGAGCCACTTGCAGCGGAGGGGAACCCCACAAAACTGAAAAACTTCTAGAAAAAGTATCTAGAACGGAAAAACAAAAACAAGAATCCACAAACAAACCACGACCTTGTTTCTCCAGCAGCGAATCCTCCCTCTTCTCTGAAATCACAAGAGCCCAGAGGAGATGTTTTCCAAAAAAGCAAAAAGCAAGTCCCAGGTCTGGCTTGAAAGGAACGTTCCACAAACGCACTGTCGATAATTTTTTTTTTAAAAAAGACAAGGTATTTGCACGAACGCACACACACAAAATTCCCCAGGAAAGCAAAGAAGAAAAACAAAACAAAACAAAAAACAAAAGTGTCTTATTTCTGAACGGGCTTCTCCTCCTTCTTCCTCGCTCTCAGCCCGAAAAACTGCAGGTCTGCCCCCCCTTCTTCCTTTTTCAGTTTTTTAAAAATACGAACCTTACTCCAATTCTTCACCCTCACCAGCGCCTGCGGCGCAACGAGGATTTCTCTTTGCCCTCCTCCTGCTCTCGTTTCTTTTTCTCCCCTTTCCTACTGAATATTGCTGGCGGCGGTGGGGGGGGGGGAGAGAAAAAGCAAAAAGTCAAAGCAACCCCCCCCCCATCAAAAGCTGCATATTATTATCACCATGTTTTGGGTCTCTCTCCCTCTCTCTTTCTCTCTCTGCTTAGGACCTGAAAAGCAAATGCAAAAGCCTTTGGAACGGGGGGGGGGGATTGTTAAAGCTTTTTTTTTCTCCCCTTAAAGAGATGCTGGGATGGGGGGGGTGGGAACCGAAGCTGCGAAATGGAATTCGCCCCGGATCCCCGGATTTCTCTTATGTCACCGCCAAGCAAATTAGTTCTCAGAATTCCAGCGGGGGGAGGCGGGCGGGAGGGAGGGAGGGGGAGGAAAGCGAATAGAACTCTGCAACATTGTATTGAGGCCGATCCCTGACGTCACGGTAGGCAAGGTCCCCACGTGACTGCCAGAGAGGAGCCTACCACTGGTGACGGGGGGGCCCGGGCCCCGCACCTGCCTCCTGGCCCCTTCCCGCAAGTTTTTTCCCGGGGGTCTCCTTGGAGACCCTTTCCATTAGTCTCTCTACAAGCTCGGGGGTGCTCCCGAGTGGGTTCCGGGCCCCCTTTGGCCCCTCCTGGCAGAAAGCCCTTCCCCGGGATCCTCCCCGGGCTGCCTACGATGGTAGCGCCTGCCGCTCAAATTCCGAGAATTGAGCTGTGTTGATTCTTAGAACTGGGGTTCTTAGAAGTGGTGATGCAAGGAGTTTCTAGGAAAGCGCGGAGACCAGGTGATTCGCTCTCGCTCGCTGCTTTGCATTGCTGCCGCTGTCCGGGCTGCTGCTGCTGCTGCCTGCGCCGTGCCTCTTTGGATGAGGATGATTAATAATAACCAGAATAATAACCATAATAATATTTAGAGCAATAACAATAGCAAGGCAGCCAAGATGCTGGAGGCGGTGCCAGGGCTCCGTAGCGCGCTGCGCCTCTTTCATTTCCATCCATCCCATTGCCACCTTTTTTGTTGCCTGGAAATCGGGGGCTTTCTTGAGCAAGGAGGGGGAGGTGGCTGGAGGTGGGGGGGAAGGCTCTGGTCCCGTTCGGCGCCGGTGCTTTTGCAAAGGGGGGTCTGTTTCTCGCGTTGTATGTGTGTGTGTCCCCTCTCTTTCCTTCTCCCTGGCGCGGCAGGTGGAAGGCAGGCGGGCGGGCGGGCGCGCAGAGGGCTCCCCCTGCTCTCCAATCGCCCAGAGCCACCAGGAGGGGGGAAAAGCCATGCTTGGCTCTTAAGCCTTGTCAGTCTCCCCGGCGGGGTTTGCTGCCTGCCTGCCTCTCTCTCCTGAGCGTGTCAATTTCTGCTTGCAGGGAGCAGAGAGGGTGGCTGTTTTGACGCTTGTCAGTTTCATTTTGGAAAGGCGAGGAGGCGCGGGGCGTTTTGCCGAGGATCGTGGCTTGTTGTGTCGGGATCGCGTTTTTTTGGAAGGGCTGTTTTTTTGGAAGGGCTGCCCGTGGAAGGAAGCTGGCGGGGAGGGAGGGAGAGCGCGAGAGAGCTCTGGGGGAAGCTGGTGGTTGTGCTAATCGGGCGAGCCGAGCAGGACACCTCTATTCCCCGAGTCCTTTCCATTCACAGAGTCAGCGGCCGCCTTTGCCCCATCGTGACCGGGTCTTAATATTTTTTTGGCCATGGAGGCATTTTTCAAATTTCCCCCACCCTCTTATTTTTATTTTCATTTTCAATCACTTTGCAAAACTGGGTTCCCCGAAACGTGTTTTGTTTTTTCCTTCTCCCCCCTCTAGTCTCTTTCCTTTCGGGCGCTCGATAACGCCAGCTCGCCTCGCTCGCCTGGCGCCGCTCCACCGACCAGGGCCTCGCGTGCGCGCGAGCTAAACGCACAAGGGCAGCCGGGGAAGGGAAAGAAGCGGAGGAGGAGGAGGAGGAGGGGACGGTTGTTTGTTTGTTCCACCGGGCGACCCAAATATAAATAAACAAGCACAAGTAAACATGCAACCGGCTGGCGCTCCGAAACCCACCAAAGCGTGTATATATAGGATTGCGCGCCGGGGTGAAGGGGTTTCCCCAATGGGGCTTACTCCCGAGGAAACATGCAGAGGATAGAAAACACGCACCCCCAAAATTCCCTTTTTTGTCTTTTCTCGGGGGCAGACAAAAAGCCAGCTTACGACTGACTTATGTTCGGGCAACTCGCCCCCCAAAGAGATCGGCCGGGTCCCGAGGCTTTGGGCACCTGCCGCGGCGCGTCTCCCGGGATCGGGGCCGGAGAGGGAGGGGGGCGCCTCTCTGGCCTCGCGCGCTGTGTGTATTTCTGCGGCGGCCGGGGCTGCGTGCCTGCCACTCGCCTCCCAATGGCCGGGCCGGCCTCCTCCTCTCTCCTTCTTCCTCCTCCTCCTTCTCGGCCGGCTGTCATCCGGCGCGGCCCGGGTAGCCGCCGCCGGAGCGCCGCGCGCGAAGCCGGAGAGCGCCGGGGCTCTTCCAAAGGCGGGCGCGCGCGCGGAGGAGCGCGGGAGGCGGAGGTCCCTGGCCCGGCGCGCAAGATGCGCGCACGAGCCCAACGTAGGACTGTGCTTCCCTCCCGTAACAGCCCCAGAAAAAAAGGGGAAAAAACCTGTCTGGTTCCGCCGGCAGCCTCTGCCGCAAACCCAGAGAGGCAGGCAGTTCCCAACATCTCTACCCCCGCATCGCAATTTCACATGTGCATGTACAGTATACTGTACATGCACATGTGAAATTGCGATATAATATATTAAAATGGAGCTGCAGAAAAATATATTTGCCATGATGCGTTTTGTTTCTCTCTTTAAAAATATGAATATATGGGGGACTCATGTCTTTGAAAAATATTAGGAAAGGCGAAATCCTTCATCATGGATACTTTGGCGATGCCGGGGGACTTTATCACGCAGCAGAATTCTCCAGGGTGGGTTATATTTGGGTAGGGCGATGTGAAGAGAAAAAGTTAGGGGGCAGCCCCTCTTGTTTATTTATATCCGCGCCCCTGCCTCCGCGGGCGCCGGGTTGTTGTGTTTTTTCCTGAGCGAAAAATAGGCAGGTCCCGGCCCCGAGGAGACTCCATCTGCGTTCGATCTCGGCTGGCGCGCGTCGGGTCCTGCTGGCGCGCGAATGTTTCCAGGCTCCCCGGCGTGTGTGCGTGGGGACGGTGGCGGGGGGGAGAGAAAGGCAGCCAGCTGAGCCTGGGAACAGAAGCTGTGCCATGAAAACAGAGTCTGCCTGGTGGAGGTGGCTGTTGGATTAATATTAATCCCTGTTTTCTCTTCTTTTCGCCCCCCCTCCCTCGCCAGATAGCAAATGTAGTGACTTTATTTTCAAGAAACAATTAAAAAACGAGCCTCTCTGAAGGATGTAAGGAAGTCAGGTTTCCGAAACACGAGCCCAGTTTTTAGAAGAAGAAAAAACCCCCAGTGTATTTGAAAGATATGTGTAATATACTGTAATAGATATGGGGAACACTAGAATTTAATCTATAGATGTTATTGCTGGACGTTAGGATTGGTGATGGGGAGATCAGGCAAGCCTGGAGTGCGGTTTTAATTTTTTTTTGGGGGGTGGGGAGTCTTTTTGCTCTCTTATTCTGGAATCACCTACCCCGGAATAACAGACCCCTTCCCCAATTCCATGCTAGCCAAATTTTGCCACTCCGCTCCCCCAGACATTAAGCCTTGAAATATGTGTGGGGAGATGGGAGACCCCATCTTTCTCTACCCCTTGACTATGGAAGTGGGGCAGTTACCGCGCAGTTAAGCCTCGCTGGTTGCTCCAGGCTTCCCCTATCTCTCCAGAATGGTCCAGACGGCCCCTTTAAAAAACAAACAAACCCAGACGCTTGAAGAAGCGTTCCTGGAAGGGAACACAGGAATTAATAGCGGGGAAGGAGACGCATTTATTAACACTTACCCGTCTGTAAACTGATCTCCTTAATCCCTGCAGAGAAAGAGGCAAAATTTAGGGTCTGGGTTTGGACCAGGTTGGGGGTGGGGAGCCCTCTCCAAAGCCCTAAAGACCAGGGCAACTAACTGCCCCCTCTGTAGAGCCAAAGACCCACGAGTCAGGGGTGCCTGTTTGTTTTGGTACTCCCCCTCCCCAAATTAAAATGCTTTGGAGGGCGAGAGCGGGGCCGTGGAGAAGGCGGCGAAGTCTTGTTTGTTTGCTTAAGGAACGGCCAAGGCGAAAGGAGATCGAGCGCAGCCAACTCCGAGAGTTCAATCCTCGCTCTCTCCCCCTCCGGCACTTTTCGTAAATTTCTTAAAGCGCTTCCTTAGAATAAAGGGGTCTATATTTACGGGTGGGGGGAGCTGGAGGGGGGGGGATCATGTTCTCTTGGGGACAAAGTTATCCAGGTGTAAGGGAAAGTTGTTAGAAATCCAACCTCTTTATTAAAAAAATAATAATCGAGGATTTCCCCGTCCTTCGCATGACAGAGTGTGTTTAGGTGTGTCTTCTCCTCCGGAGTGAGGGGTGGGAAAACTTTGTTGTGAGTTGGAATGGGGGGAGAGAGACTTCTGATTTAAATCGGTATGTTTGTGTGTGGGGCAAGATTGACCTCTGGTGGTTAAATGTGGAATAGCGGAGCAGGATCCCTCTCCCCTCCCCCCCCCAACCTACCCCCTATTTGGCAAATCTGTGGGGTGTGTGTAACATATTGCAAAATAACCATGGTTGTGGGTGCTGTGAAATGTAGAGAACGCTGTTGGGGTTTGCCCTTGTGCTGTGGGTGAGGTGCTGCCTTTTATATAAAACAGCATTTGCCCAACTTTCACAACGCTTTGCAAAAGGCCTAGGGTTTGTTTGCGGAGTTTTCTTTCGTCTCTGTCCACCAGCAAACCCGCCCTGTGACCCTCAGATGAAGGGCTGTATCGAAATCTAATACATTTAAACACGAGTTTAAAATAACCCCAGGCCCATTTTGCAGATGGGGAAACTGAGGCTTCAAAACCATGGGCAGAGCAGGGAGTCTGAATATGGGCATCTGTATGTCAGGTACTAGAGACACAGAAGGGGACAGGGTTGCTCTTGTGCTCAGATCCTGCTTGCGGATTTCCCCAGAAAGGCACTTGGTTTGTCACTGTGAGAATAGGATACTGGATTCTAGGCCTGATCCAGCCAGCCTCTCCTTATGTTCTTATGTGTGATTCTGCCCCACATTTAAACTGTGTATATGAGCAATAGAAAGGAGTTTTGCAGGGTCTAAAATAGGAATGGGGAACCTGCGGCTGTCTAGATGGTCGCTGGCTTCTCCTCATGGTCGTTGGCCATCAGGCTGACTGACAGGCAGGTGTTGGAGTCTAGCATCCTCTGAAAAACTGCAGGTTCCTCACTCCTAGGTCTTAAAATCAAACCAGGAAGCTCCAGGGTTTGACACACTAGAGTTTGGCAGTGGGAGAAACCTCCTTACCATCTAGTACAAGGCTTGTGTTTTTCCACTTCCATCAAATCAAAATACAAAGAGAGGCTTGATCGGAGGTTTGTTTGCTTTTTTAAAAAAAAATGTTTTAATTATTGTTTGCGACGCCGCAGGGAGAGATTTAAAGGAGGAATACAAAGTACAGGCTGCCTTCAACTCTTGGGGGGGTGTCTAAGCTTGCTTCAGAGTAAATTGAGGCAATCTATTTGAAAAGAGAGAGAAACTGGACCAATAACTGACATTTATCCAGCTGAATGGATGGGTAACTACTCTCAAGTAGAAGGTCTTCTCATATAGGTAGGGGGAAAAGTGCAGAACTTCACCAGGGATAGGGTCCATCAACTCTTTGGTTCCAAATCGGATACTAATAACAAATTTAGTTAGTCTCTAAGGTGCTACTGGAAGGGCTTTTTTATTTTGTTTCATCTCAGGGAAGTTTGTCAGACAACCTGTAAAAGGAAAAACATCTTTATCGCCTGAGTGTTGGGTCTTCTGATGACTCTTGGCTGTGCAAAGATCACCTGGTTTGGTTAAAATCGGCCTTCATCATCATCCTGGTGCCCTCTTCCAGATAGGTTTCTGGAAGAACGGTAGCTTTATTTGCACCAGTGGGTTCCCGGCTCAAAGCATGGCCCCTTAACCTAGGTGAAGCCCACCTGGTGCCTTCCAGGTACTGGACAACAACTCCCATCAGCCCCTGTGGGAGGTTGATGGGAGTTGTAGTCCAATTTATGGAGGGCGCAAGGTCGGCAAAGGAACGAGCTTGTCTTCTCCTGCTCCAAGGGTAGGGCTCAAACCGATGGATTCAGATTGCAAGAAAGTGAGATTCCAACTAAACATTTTGAGAGTAGGAGCTGTTTGAGAGTGGAAAGATAGCTGGTGGTTTCTCCGTCATTGGAGGGTTTTAAGCAGAGCTTGGATGGCCACCTGTCAGGGCGGTAGACTAGATTACCTTGGAGGGTAATCCAGTTTGACAATTCTGTGATACCAGAAGTCAAATGATTTGGGGGCAGCAGCAAGAGAACTACTTGTTGGAGTATGTCTCCCTATATATGTCAACACCCACTGTTTTGCCTTGCACAACTTCTCATTTCAATGGGGTTTGCGCAACACAGTGGATGGAGCCTCAAGTTTCAGCTTCCCAAACTAAAGGATGCCAAGAGCTCTAGCTTAATTTTAAGAAAACTTTTTGAGTTCTGCAAAGGTGTGAAGAGGTGAGTGGGGGTGTTAATTGGTGGGGGGCTGGGGTCAGTTTTGAAACTTGAATTTGGAGATCAGGTGCTGGTAACTGGAAAGCCAGAAGGGCACATCAGAGTTGACTTTTTTTAAAACAAACAAACCAAAATACCAGTCATTCAGGAAAAAACCTGATCCTAGGATTTCAGCCATTTCAGTTTCAGGAAACGCGTGCTTAGCTCTCCCATTGAAATAAATGGACTTTCTGTGTGCTTGATAGGCTGGATTAATGGGTTTTTGTGTTGCTCATGTTGCACTGAAGTCTCAGTGTGCAGAGGAACCCTTGGAAAATTGTACAATGATTTCCACCTCCCTCCAAATATGTACTCGTAAGTACTGAGCCAAATCAGAACTGGGCCTGTCAAGGTTGGCTCTGCGTTGTCCTTGGCCAAGCCAGCACGCTCCAGGTGTTTTATCTGAAACATCTGGAGGGCACCGGCTTGGCAAAGGCTTGCTCTGCACTGGAAGAAATCCCATTAGCAACGTCTGAGCTGGTTGGAGTGAAATGCAACACTGGCTTTTGCACGGTGGTCCGCGTGCGAGAAGCTTGTTTACTCTTCCTCCTTCGTCTCCCACGAACTTTCACTTTGTTTTTTGGGTCAGTATCACTTGTGGTTACTGGGGAGGCAAGGGAGCGGGTGGGGGGTGAAGAAAGAGTTGGCTTTGGGGAAGTGGTTATGGCCACGGAGTCCTGTTTTCACTCTCGCTCTCGCTCTCCCAGTGGCAGGTTATATGAAAACTCTCTGTTTGCAGGTCCCCCTCCACGACTTCTAATCTGTTCTCTTACTCATTGTGGGCATAAAAACATTTATTATTATTATTATTATTATTATTATTAAAACCTCTTGCATGTTATGGTTACTGATTTATTTTCTGCGCTCTTGATTCATTCATCAAACGATTCTCACGAAACTTAGCCACCCAACACATAGCTTGATTTTATTTACCCATTTCAGTAAATTTATACCCTGCTTGATTGCAAAGAAAACCTCAAAGCGGTTTTCGTTAAAAGACAAAGCAATAAAATGACCGCAGTGCAAAATTAACAACAGTGAAAATTTAAGATAGACAACTTCTGATTTGCTCGGGGGTCTTTATAACTTTGTGTGATAGCCCCAATGTGGGTCCAAGGTCCCCACCCCATCAAAATATTCTCGGTTGCAATGCTACTACCGTATTCCCTTTCTGGGGGAGGGACAGGTGAAATATCAGGAGCGTCTGGTATGCGTCTGTAAGTCAAGTGCCCCAAATGAACCAGAGGTGTTAAGAAGTTATCTCCTTCTGAAGACGTCTGCGGTTGACTTCCAGACCTTAGTAAATTTGTTAGCAGATCCACTGTAATTGAGGGGAAATCTAATCAATTTCATTGGGTCTCCTCTAAGCATAACTTAAGTCAGGATCCAACCCTTTGTTGAGCCCAGGGATGGGGAATGGGGCACCCTTTAGGCTACAATTGCCAAACTTCTGTTGTCCACGCTCCTGTAACCTCTAGGTTGGAATATGGCAACGTGTTATATTTGGGGCTGCTTCTGAAGATGGTCTGGCAGTCATTTACACCTCTAGTGCTCCCTTGTCTCCCTCTTGCCTCTTAGCCTCCCCCCAGGTCCCTGCCCCACAGTGTCCATTGATTATAGAATAAAATGAGAGCCAGCATGGTGTAGTGGTTAAGAGCGGTAGACTTGTAGTCTGGTGAACCAGGTTCGATTCCCTGCTCCTCCACATGCAGCTGCTGGGTGACCTTGGGCCAGTCACTCAGCCTCACTCACCTCACAGAGTGTTTGTTGTTGGGGAGGAAGGGAAAAGGAGATTGTTAGCTGCTTTGAGACTCCTTAGGGTATTGATAAAGTGGGATATCGAATCCAAACTACTACTACTACTACTACTACTACTACTCTTCTTCTTCTTCTTCTTCTTCTTCTTCTTCTTCTTCTTCTTCTTCTTCTATAATTAACTAGCCTGCCTGATCTGTAAGGAAATCCCCATGGACTCTAACCCTTAGTTCATCCTATTTTGCTACATCTCTGCTGAGATTTCCCTTCTGCAGCTGACAGCTGCGACGTAGCGATCATACTTTCCCCAGGACCAGCTGGCACCCCTGCATAAGCGAGCCAGGATTTGAACCCAGATCCATAGCTGATCCTGTTTGTCAGAACATTTGAGTTTGAGCTTCCATCCCTGGTTGAAATCCAACCGGGAGGATCGCTGATCCCTGCAAACTGGCAGAGGAGCAGGGTGTTTGTGAAATCACGGAATCCAACAGTTATTACCTCCAGAAAGTTCTTTCTGAAGTTTAGTTGTAATCTCCTTTCCTGGCATTGGAATCCATTGGTTTGGGTCTTACTTATAGGATGGCTCTCATATCCCCTCTCCTCTCGGATAAACAAACCCAACTCCCTCAACTGTTCCTCATCCGGCTTGGTTTCCAGACCTGTTATCAGATCTTTTACCGTATATGTGTGTGTATAGGGGGAGACTAATTTTCTTCCATACGGAATTTACCTTTGGAAAAGCAGCAACGACTCAAACATTTTGCGCACGAGAAGAGAGTGTGTCTGTGCGTGAGTCAGGCAGCCTGTGTGATAAGGGGGGGGCGGATATGGGGTGCCCTGAGCAGGAAGAAAGGAGGGAGTGTTGGCAAATTCTGAAGGCTGGGCATGTCAGGGTGAGCAGTGGTTACATATTCTCACGACCACTGCTCCTTGTGCATTTTTCTAATCTATGCGTTGTGCTGAAGAAGATTCCAGCGAAACAGACAGATTATCCGGGATTACTGTCCTACGTTGTTATTCACTTACTATTTCGACACCATGAACCCCTAAAAAAAGTTTTACTGCTTAGCCCACAGGATAGCATCTATTACTTTGTTTCAGCCATAGACTTATTATACTTCTACGGACTTTCAAGGATTGACAGACGTGTGTTCGTCTGATTTCAAATACATTAGAGAATTTACAAGTGTACACGTTTTGTTTTTGTTGTACCAAATCATGTATATTATTCAGTAAGAATTGCAGTGCTATCTAGTATACTGGTCTTCGTGTTGCTTGTATTGTTTGTTGTGTTAAGTTTGCAACACAGGGGTTTGTTGTTCTGTAGGGGTGAGCACCTTGGCCCAGGAGAATGGGCTTGAGTCAGAAATCCTTGCAGGGAGATCTACTGCTAGATTCAAGCATACCTTACGTCGCCTGCACCTTTGTGGGAAGAAGCACCATAGCTCAGTAGCAGAGCATGCATTTTGCAAACAGAATGTCCCAGCTTCGAATCCTCAGCATCTCTGGGTAGGTCTAGGAAAATTCTCCGCCTGAAACCATGGAGAGCCCCTGCAATTTAGGGCTGACATACTGAGCTCAATGGGCCAGTGGGTTCCTATGTTCCTGTGCTCAGAGTACTTTAACTGACAATGCTGGAAATTCAACCTGGGATCTTCTTGCACGCAACCTTCTCATAATGGTTTTGCATGGCCAGTATGCATTTGTTACTGGCTGTATTACTGTTTGTGTTCATGGTCAGCTGGTTTGTGGGTCTGCTGAGTTGAAAAGCAGAGCGTGGATTTAGTAAAACGTGCCCCACCGCTGAGCAGGGTTGTGATGTTTTTAGAACGAAGCTCCTTCTTCAACCAGTGCAGAGTTAAACTGTGGAACTCACTGCCACAGGGGGCAGTGATTGCCGCCAGAGACGGCGCCCTTTTAACACTAAGCCTAGAACTTGTAGACATCTAATGAAGCTGAAGATTCTGGATGTCTGCATGAAATGACTTATTCGTGAAGCACATAGTTAGCCTACGGAACTCCCTCCCACAAGAGTGGCTTTAAAAGAGGACTAGACAAATTCATGGAGGGTGGCTACTAGCCACAATGGCAATGCTCTGCCCTCCACAGTTGGAGGCAGCAAATGATTCTGAACACCAGCTGCTGGAAGCCACAGGAGGGGTGTTGTGTTCGAATCCTGCTTGCGGGTTTCCTTCACGAATCTGGCTGGCTGCTGCGAGAACAAGATGGTAGATGAGATAGGGGCCCTGGCCTAATCCAGCAGCCTCTCCTCGTGTTCCTAACGCTTTGAAGAGTGGAGGAAGGAGGACATCGTACAATGTTGCAGGCCTCCTTACCTGAGTCGTCGCAGAAAAGGGCTTCCCACCTCCCTAGTCTTCTCCTTTCAGCAATTCTGAGTGGAGACCGCGTGTGTGTGTGTCTGGCTTTTTGTTTTCCTGGTTACAGGCTAACAAACCTGCCCCCTTTCTCTGCCATTGTGTTTCCTAGAAGCATTTGTGTCTGCTCTGGCAGGAAACTGGATCACGCAGGAGCTTGGAACAAAATGCTCAGTGTGGTAACCTCTTAGGCGCACAATACAGGAGGGGAGGAAGCTGGCAGAATCAAAGTCTCTTTGATCTGCACTGACTAAGGAGTTTCGATGCTCACAGCCGTGGTTGGCCTCCATTCTCGTCGCCCCCACCTTCATTTTCCTCTCGCTGCTGCTGCTGTCTAATCTCAGGTCGCTTGTCTTAGACAGCAGACAGGGACGGCTGACTTGGGAAGTGAGAGAAAGAAGGCCTCTCAAGTCCTTCCACCAGGAGGGGGGAATCCCAGCAAGCGATCTTTGCTCATTGCGAGAAATGCTGTGGCGAGGATCAGTGACTTCCAAATTTCCCCTCTTCCGAGAACTCTTTCTGTATCAATCTGCTTGCTGCAGAACTCCAGTTTGGGGTTCAGTTGCCTTGCGTAGAGTGCATGAGCACCAGGAACAGTGCCAGTGTTCGAAATTATCCAGGCGCCAGGAGCGTTTTGCTACCGGTGCAGGTCCAATTTGCAACCGCATGGAGATTTCTGGGCACCAGGTTTAAAAACCTCTGCCTTACTCTGTAGTTAATACCGTTTCTGTTTCCACTGTGTGTGTGTTTCTTCTTCTTGCATACTGGGACAAGCAAATTGTAAGAGCAAGTGCAATATCAAAGAATCGTGGAATTGTAGCATTGGAATAATAACATAATAATAATAATAATAATTTATTATTTATACCCCACCCATCTGGCTGAGTTTCCCCAGCCACTCTGGGCGGCTTCCAATCAAGTGTTAAAAACAATACAGCATTGAATATTAAAAACTTCCCTAAACAGGGCTGCCTTCAGATGTCTTTTAAAGAGAAGATAGCTACTTATTTCCTTCACATCTGAAGGGAGGGTGTTCCACAGGGCAGGCGCCACCACCAAGAAGGCCCTCTGTCTGGTTCCCTGTAACCTCACTTCTCGCAGGGAGGGAACCGCCAGAAGGCCCTCAAAGCTGGACCTCAGTGTCCGGGCTGAGTGATGGGGGTGGAGACGCTCCTTCAGGTATACAGGACTGAGGCCATTTAGGAAAGATCAGCACCAACACTTTGAATTGTGCTCGGAAACGTACTGGAAGCCAATGCAGATCTCTCAGGACCGGTGTTATGTGGTCCCAGCGGCCGCTCCCAGTCACCAGTCTAGGGGATCCCAAAGGCCATTTAGTCCAACCCCTGGGCAAACTGACATTCTGTGTTGGCAACCACAATCTAGATTCAAGGTGCCATTCGGCGCTTAGCTTATATACCTGAGTTTCTAACGTTGGAACAGCCATAGCTCAATGACGGAGTAGCAGCCAGAAGGTCTCCTTCCGTCCCTAGGGTATCTGCCTTAAAACCCTGGAGAGAAGCAGCTGCCAGTCAGTGTGGGAAATGCTGAGCTAGTCAGACCAGCACTATGGCTCTGTCTAAAGCAGTTTCCTACCTTCCTGCGTTTGCCAGAGCTTTAAGAGTTCAGCATCGCCTTGGGCGAGCCGAGAGCAGAGACAGGAGAGCACCTGCTACTCCTATGACCACCTTGTGCAGAGGGCCTATAAGTTGTCCTTCTGGGAGACTTGTTTGCCATTGCAGATCTGCTTCCGGGGGGTGGGGGGAGCCTCACAACTGTGGCTGGGTTCCTTCTGAGGGATACCTGGGTCCCTTCAGATTTGCTTTGGCATTTGCATTTTGCTTTCCCAGCCACAAATGTTGGGCAGAAAGGGAGCTCAGAATGATCGCAGTAGCATTAAGGAACAACAACACATTGCAGTCGCTGTAATATCAAGCCGAACAACATATAGACAAAGCAAACGGCGACAGCAAATCCATCAAAACAAGTAACACAATTCAAAAATGTTGTATTAAAAGCTTCCAGGCATTGGTGGTGCTGAAGCATAAGAAAGATACTTTAAAAATAAAAAACACCTTTTTTGGCAAGGGCGTAGCCTTGCAACTGAAATGAAACAGTACGGAATGCCGTTAAAAATTCCTTCCCTGCAAGGCCTTGAACCCAGTGACCCTTTGGGTCCCTTCCAATTCTATGAAAAATAACCCAAATGCAGCGGAGGTGATGCTGCCTTCAAAAAGGGGGACAATGAAGGGTGTTTGGGGATGATGGAATTGCTTTCCAGATACTGTCCAAAGGCAGAGTTGGAAGAGACACCAGGTGTCATCTAGTCTGACCCCCTGCAATGCAGGAACCACAGCCAGAGAATCCATGACAGATGGCCATGCAACCTCTGCTTGAAAACCTCCAAGGAAGGAGAGTCCACAGCCTTCTGAGGAATTCCATTCCAATGTCTCAGAAAGGTCTCCCCAATGTTTAGTTAAAATCTCCTGACTTGTAACTTGGCTCCTGCTCTACCTTCCATATCTATAGGACCACCTCTCCTGGTCTGCCCTGCAGAGGACCTTAAGGTCCATGAATAACCATAGTTTAGAGGTCCCGGGCCCAAGGAAGTCAGACTATCCTCCACCAGGGCCAGGGCCTTTTCAGTGATGGCTCCGACCTGGTGGAATGCTCTGTCTCATGAGGCCAGGGCCCTTCAGGATTTAACCTCCTTCCGTCGGGCCTGTAAGACAGAGCTATTCCGCCTGGCCTTTAATTTGAATTCAGCCTGATCTTTTATTTCCCTTCTCTTCCCTCCCCCTCCCCTTTTATGAAGATCACCCGCTCTGAGACCCCACAGCTAATTCTCCCCTGGCCTCCTCGCTGGCCCAAGTAGGACCAATTCAGCCACCTAGCCCTGGGAATTATCTAATTGATTTTTGATTTTTATTGTTATTCATGTTTTTATACTGTATTTTATGCTGCTTTTATAATTTTTTAAATTTGTTGTTAGCTGCCCTGAGCCCGGTTTTTGAACCGGGAAGGGCGGGGTATAAATAAAAAATTATTATTATTATTATGTGGCAGCCCTTCAGATATTTGAAGGCGGCTATCTTTCCTCCTCTTAGTCTCAACTCCCTCATCCCCAACTCCCTCAACCGTTCCTCATCAGGCTTGGTTTCCAAGCCCTTGATCATCTTGGTCGCCCTCCTCTGCACACCTTCCAGCTCGTCAACATCCTTCTTAAATTGTGGACGCAGTCCTACAATTTCCCTATAGGAGTCTGGATTTCTCTTGTGCATGGTGAGAAATTGCATGAGTGTTTTTTTATCCTCTTTCCCCGAAGCATTGGGAGATCTTGATGCCTTATCTTTTATTGGGTCAGCTTCTGTTGGTGTAAGGATTTGCAGCTTAGGGAAGGCCGGGACATTGTGTGGAGCAGGTAGGCAGGCGATTGGATGATTGGATCCGGTAGCTTTCCATTCTGTGTGTAGCCATTCTGTTGTGCCAGCTGAATGGGTGGGTAGCTGGTAAATGATTGCAAGGCTGGCTTGTGATCTAAATTCCTTCAATAAAAGGAACTGCAAGATGGGACTTGGGTGTATTTCTCATGCAAGGCTGCCCTCTTGTGGAGAGAAAGCTGGTTACAATTTCAGTGTGAAACTTTCTGACGAGGGCAAGCGCGATGATTAATTTTAGTGTAGCGGTTTTTGTTTTAAAGTGGAGAATGGCAGCTGAGTTGGAGATGCACGGAAAGGGCTGTCTCTGCATCTGAAAGTGAGATCTGGTATGGAGAGTTGATGGTCAACATGCTTTCTCGTCTTCCTTTTGGTATAGGAAACAAGCTGGTCAAAAATAGCAAAATATAGTTCCAATCCCTAACTAGTGAATCACAGCTTCCCTTGATGGCTTTTAACAAGAAGCTCTGACAAACATCCAAATGGGTATATAACTGGGAGTTTGTGACCTGCCCCAGCCTTCGGTGCCGCTGATTTAAGCAAGGGGGGAAGGCAAAAGATCTGCAAATCAGAACAGAAGGCTTATTGAGGCCAGTAGCCTTTTGTCCCGCAGCTGCCAACCAGATGATGACGATAATTTAATTCATATATCGTTTCATGCCCAAATAGGCTTCTGAGTGGTTTACAAAGTGTAGCCGCCAATTACACAAACATTATATCACCCGTAATTAAAACGTGCTATAAAACAATCTCAGTAAAACAACCCAACTATTAAAAGTGGAAACTCTGGTCGAGAGATCAAGAAAACCCAAGACGCCTCTGGGTTGTCCACAAACAGGTGGTGATGAGGGCATATCGATGGGCGACTGGAGCAATGTTGTGCACATTTTAGCAAAGCAGGAGTAGGCTATGAGCAGGAAAGGGGGGTGGTTCCCTTTAGAAGCTGAAAGAGAAATGAGGAGTTCGGAAAGGGTGCTTGCATGTTCATGGGGTACCCGTTCATGAGATCACTTCTGCCAACTTTGCAGGAGTTGCTAAACTTTGAAGGCCCCCAGCAAGATTTTATTGTTTAATCTTCCGCAAACCGTGTCCAAAATACCTTATCAGCTCCTATGCAATATTTTTTTGCAGTTGTGGCGAATCTTTTTGCAACATGATTGATGTTTTTGCTATACTAGACTCGTTATTTGTTTTTAAAAAATCCTAATAAAAACATTGATTTTTAAAAATATCAAACGTTTTCCCGCTTGAGCGCAGGAATCTGGAGGCAGAGCGATTGGCCCTCTTGGTTTTGTTGCTGTCCATTTATTTATTTCATGGAGTTTATACAATGTTTGATGGGATTTTTTAAAAAACAAATCCTCAGAGCAGTTTACGAAAAGATAAAACGGGAAAATCAAGAAAAAATTACCGCTGTACCTCAAAAACATACAAAAAGTTAAAATACTGAAACAGGTTAAAACTCACATCAAGTTTCTAAGCATCAGGATAGGCTTGAAAAGAATACACTGATATCAATAGGCAGGGAGTTCCAAAAGTATAGGCACTGTCACACTCAAACATTGAGTTTGAAAACACATGCAGAACAGATGTGGTTTGGCACCTGGGCTGCCCGTTCTACTGATTGAAGAGATCAAGTGGGCACATCTGGGATGAAGCAATCTCACAGGTAAACTGCTCCCAAGAGTAACACCTTGGATTTGGTCTGGTAGCTAATAAGCCCAGATGTTAGGCGCTGGCACGCCTGTTCTAGCTGCCGGTAGCTCCCTGCGTCTTGTGTCATCACAACCGCCACAGCCGCAACGCGCCCCTGGCACTCCCTCTTCAAGCTTGATGGCTTGAGACGAGCTGTGTCAAGAGAGGCTCTCCCCAGAGCCTTCAAAATCTGAAGCGGCAATTATGCAAGATTCCAGGCAGCTTTGTGGAGGGGTTGCTCTCCCTTTCATGTCTCCAAAATGGAATCGTAATGGCACACATTTTTTACGCTGGCAATTAGATGCTGCATTGCAATTCAGCGCCACACGTCCCACACTGTTTTTTCCTTTATGGGTGTGGGAGTGTTTTTATGGGCCAGATCACAAGAGCCACATAACAGAGGATTTATTTATTTTTTTACGGTGTGGTTTTTATTGAGATTTCAAAATGCAACGCTGGGAAGACAGGGGAATCTGTCCTCGGCTAGATTTAAAAGAAAGAACTGTGGCATTAAAAAATAATAGCTTGTGGGATGCTTTTGGTTCCACCTCCATTCCCATCCCTGAGTATCAGAGAATTGTAGGGACCCTCAAGGGTCATCTAGTCCAACCCCCTGCAATGCAGGGATCTCAGCTGGATGCAGTTTACATGACAGATGGCCATCCAACCTCTGCTTAACAGTCTCCAAGGAAGGAGAGTCCCCCACCTTCCAAAGGAGTCCGCAGAAAACAATCCATCTCCCATGTGACAGCTCTTGACATATTTGAAGATGACTATTGATGGGAAGCTATTGTTGGCACCACAGGAATTGTCTTATGGTTTCCCACAGGGTTCCACATTTTGTCCCCTTTGCTGTCTGACATCTGGGAGTTGTCATCAGGAGTTCTGGAGTGAAGTGTCATCAATATATGGTTCGCACTCGGCTCCATCTCTTTGTACCATCTGAATCGGGAGAGGCGCTCGAGGTGCAAACTGCATCTATTGCAGCGAAACTATATTTAAACTGTAATCGTCACCAACTGTAATCTTTGCATTCCATTGCCATTCAACTCCCACCTTTTGATATTCTCCTTTTAGATACCGGCCACCTAAGATTTCGCACTGGGTATCTGACGACATAGGCTCGAGTCCATGGGAGCTTTATGCCATGATAAATTTGTGGTGCCACAAGATTCTTCTGTGCTTTTTGTGTAAGAGCCCAACACCTCTATTAATTTTTTTTTAAAAAAACAACAATCACACATCTGTTGTGTGGCTTGTGACATTTGGAGAAAGGGTCATGGGAGGGAATTTTGCAGGTGTGTTGGGTTTTGTTGCTGCTCTGACAAACCCCACCCTGATTCTGTGGTCCAAGTGCTTTTGTAAGACCTTTGGGGCAGAGCAGGTAAAAGAAGACTACTGCTCATGCACTGAGCATCTTCAATGGAGTTATAACTTTCACTGTACTGTATATATAAAAAAGCATTGACCACTTGGGTCCCCATCATGTTAATACCTGGCTAGCACTGTAGTTTTGTTTTGTTTTGAATATTTTGTTATAAGCCACCCAGAGTGGCCAGGGGCAACCCAGTCAGATGGGCAGCGTATAAATGTTGTCGTTGTTGTTGTGTATGCATGACGCACTACCAGACTGCTGAATGTTGCCAGACAAAGGGAACATGTCACTCCCTTGTTAAAATGACTTCACTCGCTACTGATCTGTTTCTGGGCACAATTCAAAGTGTCCAAGCTACCTGAAAGATCACATCTCCCATTATGAACCTGCCCAGATGCTGAGATCCCTGGGTGAGCATCTTCTCTCGGTCTCTCTGAGTTCCCTTAGTCTCATCAACATCCGAAGCACAGCTGGTGGTGACCTAGACAGAGCCTTTTCTGTGGCTGCTCCCATATTGTGGCACTGGCTCTGCTTTGGGTCCCTTCCAACTCTATGATTACAAGGAAGGAGATTCCTTGGGGTCCCTCCAACTCTATGATCCTACGAATTCACTCCCAAGAGAGGTCAGCCTGGCTCCCTCTTTGTTATCCTCCTGGTTTCAGAAAGGCCTTTGGAGACTAAGGTGCAGACATTGCTGACCGCTGGGCTGCTGTCGGGGCAAACTGTATTTTTAATTGCTGGTTCTCAATGTGTCCTGGTGTCTTTTAATTATTGTTTTTAACCAGTCTGCATTCTTTACTTTGCATTTTATAATGTTGTTTTTAAATGTCAGGAGCCGCCTTGAATCCCAGCTTAGGAGAAAGGCGGAATATAAACACAATGAGTGATAATTATATGAATGCTTGCAGTTTTCCTGTTGAGGCCTCTGGTTGGCCACTGTAAGAACAGAATGCTAGACTAAATGGACCACTGGCTCAATGATGCAGGCTGTGCTGATATATATATACTTACGAGGTTCTTTGTGTTTTGTCTGTGCAGGTCTGAAAGAAACCCTTCGACTGTGAATTGAAGCAGGAGGTAAGGCTCCATAATTGCATGCCTCATTCCTTCAAGTGTGTCGAATGGAATATTGCAGCCGGCTCAGCTGGAAGCGCTTTTCAGGAGGGCGTCTGGCTTGATTTAAGGAAATAAAAACACAAGTGGCGTCCTCCCTCCCTTGCTGATGGGAACCGAGTGGGTGGGTTTGGTGGAGGCTGCCCTCCCGCAGTCGGGTGTCGAAGGCTTCCTTCCACCTGCCCCTCTTCAGGAGGGAATTACCGTATTTTTCGCTCTATAAGATGCACCAAACCACAAGACGCACCTAGTTTTTGGAGGAGGAAAACAAGAAAAAAAATATTCCGAATCTCAGAAGCCAGGACAGCAAGAGGGATAGCTGCGCAGTGAAAGCAGCAATCCCTCTTGCTGTTCTGGCTTCTGGGATAGCTGCGCAGCCTGCATTCGCTCCCTAAGACGCACACACATTTCCCCTTACTTTTTAGGAGGGAAAAAGTGAGTCTTATAGAGCAAAAAATACGGTACTTTGCGGTCTCTACATCTTGGTGTTTTGGTTTACCTTAAATGCTTGCCCATCTTTGTGACCCCCCCTGGGGCCTCAGAGCAGCTTTCGCAGAGTCAAAACCAGAAACGGCAAATCAGACCCACCATGATACACTTTGAAATAATTTAAAAAGATGGTTTCAAAGTGCAATTAAAAGGCAACGGGGACAATCGCCAGCATTCAGCCATCCGGCCCTAAAATTCAAAACGAGCTTTCGAAGAAATTTCTGGGGCAGATGAAATAAGCTGACAGTCCTCCTTAGGCAGAAAAAAATCCGCTCTAAGGAATTTTCACCAGTGAAATCGTTCAGCACCCAGTCACTGCCAGCCTGGCATGGCATCTTTCCAGTTTGGGATGGCCTTTTCTAGATTAGGCCAGTCCTAACCAGCTAAAGCTTCACTTTCCAGTTGCCTTTGGGAGCTTACAAGCGGGGCATGGAGGTGGGTTGCAGTTCCACCAGTTCACTTGCAATCTATGTTAGTCAGAGGTACACTGCCTCTGGCTATGCAGGCTCTGCACTGCTGGTAATATCTAGCAGGCCTGTTTCTCTATGGGCTGCTGCTCCTTCACAACAGCTTAGTCAAACAGGCCTAACCATGTGTTTGGAGTGTATGGGGCTGATTGGAGTTGTAGTCCGAAACTTTTCGAGGGCCCCCAGGTTGAGGAAGTCTTGACTAGAGCCTCAGGTGTGTGTTCTATAGACGAGCTCACCCTGCTGAAATGAAGAGCCCTCCTGACCCCATAGATCTCCGCCCAGGACCACCTGCAGCCAGGACCTCTTTGTAGTGCTCGTAATAATTTCTGCCTTTGCTCCCTTCTTCTGCACGTCGACAGGACAGACCCAAGATGGCTTCACCGGCAGACAGTTGCATCCAGTTCACCCGACACGCGAGCGACGTCCTCCTCAATCTCAACCGCCTCAGGAGCAGGGACATCCAGACGGACGTGGTGATCATTGTCAACCGGGAACAGTTCCGAGCCCACAAAACAGTCCTGATGGCCTGCAGGTGAGGAGAACGACCCCAGGACTCGCCAACATCCCACAAAGCTGAGTGCTTGGAGATTCAGGGCTGATAAAAGGAAGTCCCTTCCTCACACAGCGCGTAGTTAACTGTGAAACTCACTGCCACAGGAGGCAGGGGTGGCCACCGACTGGGATGGCTGGAGGCTAATTAATGGAGCAGAGGGCTATCAATGGCTTCTTGGCTATGCTCTGCAATTCTTCTGAGTAAGAGCCATGTACCTTGAGCTCCTTGGAAGATAGGTGGGCTGTAAAATGAATAAATAAACACTTCTCCACTTGTGTTTTTTCTTCTTCTCTTCATCCCAGTGGCCTTTTCTACAGCATTTTCACTGATCAGCTGAAGTGCAATTTGAACGTCATCAACCTGGACCCAGAGATCAACCCCGAAGGCTTTGGCATCCTCCTTGAGTTCATGTACACCTCCCGTCTCAACCTGCGGGAGAGCAACATCATGGCTGTCATGACCACGGCTCTCTACCTGCAGATGGAACACGTGGTAGATACCTGCCGGAGGCTGGTCAACACCAGGTGAGTTGGCCCGGGCTAACCTCAGCGAGGTCAGTCCATGGTTATGCATTTTTTGAGAACGTTGTGTGCTCTTAGGGTAGCTCCTTCTACTGCTGGGTCCAGCAGTCCTCACTGTTAGGGGTCTGCCGTGTTAACTCTACCACCATCAGCCCTGGTTTCACCCCAAAGTAGGAAACACTAGAAATCGTGGACATCCAAGGAAGCTGAAGAACGAAAGTTCTTCTTTTATCTGTCTATGGAACTTGCTCCTACAGTGGTGACCATTGATCTAGATGGCTTTAAAAGAGGAGACGACAAATTCCTGGAGGAAGAGAGGTCTGTTGCTGGAAACCACAGAAGGTGGAGAGTGCTGTTGTTGTGCTCTGATCCTGCTCATGGGTTTCCCTTGGCCACCATGAGAACAGGATGCTGGACTAGATTGGCCTGATCCAGAAGGCTCATCTTACCCTCTTATGTTGGTTGGCATCCATCTGTCTCAGGAGACAATGGAAGAAGAGTACGCCTTCGGGGGTCAAACTAGCGCATGGATAGCTCAATTGGTTAGAGCATGGCGCTAATGCCAAGGTTGCAGGTTTGATCCTCATATGGAGACAGCTGAATATTCCTGCCTTGCAGCGGGTTAGACGAGATGATCCTCGGGGTCCCTTCCAAGTCTACAATTTTATGAAACTGTTGGAGAGTCACAGCGCCTGCTGTGGCTGTAGATACGGGAGAGACATGCTTGGTTGCAGCTGGGGCAGAGGACAGTATCTTCTATCTGTGTTCTTATGTAGGAAGAAGGAATTGCCTGTTGTGACCATGATCTATCAATTATTCCAACATTTCCCTCTCTCTTTCTCTCCCTTCCCGCCATGTCCAGTGACACAGAGATGATGTCTGCCGTGAAGACTCAGCGGGAAGACTTTCTGGGCGGTCGCCTGGCCAGCCACCCGGACATGATGGCATACAGGAGCAGCAGGGAAGTCTCCGAAAGCGGGCTACCTCTCCGAAACGGGTCCATCTGCGACGGAAGAGCCTTCGTCCCCGGCTTGTACAGCGGCCTTTCGGGCTCCCCCATCTCCTACACTGGATACAGCCCCATGCCGGTTGGTGGGTACCTCTTCTCAGACGAGGAGCTGCGGGAAGCAAGGATGCCCCTGTCGGACATTTCCAGGGCCAACCCTTTCCCAAGGGAGCGGGCGCTGCCGTGCGTCTCATCCCGGACGGGCGCTGCCGGTTATGCCCGGAGCGTCACCGAGGTATCACCCGGCATGTGCCAGGCCGCCATCTACTCCCCGAAGAAAGCTGCTGCCGATGAGGTCAAAAGTGATGTGCACTACAGTGGCGCCCCTGCCCCCAAGCCTGCCGCCCCCTTGGTAGCCCGCAACAGCGCCTACTTCCCCTGCGACAAGGCAGGGAAGGAGGAGGAGAGGTCCCCAGCTGAAGACGACATCAGTCAGCGCTTCGAGGCAAGCAACGCCCCCATGAACCGCAAGGTCCTGGTCAGCCCCCAGAGCCCGCAGAAGTCGGACTGCCAGCCCAACTCGCCCACCGAGTCCAGCAGCAGCAAGAACGCCTGCATCGGGCAAGGGCCCGGCGGGCCGCCCTCCGCCAAAAGCCCCACCGACCCCAAGGCTTGCAACTGGAAGAAGTACAAGTTCATCGTGCTCAACTCGCTCAACCAGAGCGCCAAGCCGGAAGGCCCTGAGCAGGGCGAGGCGGGGACCCTCTCCCCCCACACCTATGCCCCCTCCCTGACCTGCCAGCAGTCGATGGAGCCCGAGAGCTTGGATGTTCAGTCCCCCACCAAGATGAGCGTCAACGGGGAGGACTCGACGATCCCTCAGGCCAGCAGGCTGAACAACATTGTCAACAGGTAAAAGCTCCCGGTTTGTTGGGGCTCCTTACGGGCTCACCAAAGGCCCACTGAGTGTGGCAGGAGGTGGCAAGCTTCCATTTTCTTTCTCCACCCTCCTCACCATCATTGAAGCCCTCAGCTTCGGGCTGAGCAAAGAGGGATGAGAGGCAGGCCTGCCTTTTCCTATAATAATAATAATAATAATAATAATAATAATAATAATAATGTTTTTTTATTTATACCCTGCCCTTCCCGGTTCAGAAAATGGGCTCAGGGTGGCTAACAACAAATTTAAACCGCTTAATTGATACAACAAAAAACAGCATAAAATACAGTATAAAACATGAATAACTATAAATTCAGATTTCAAAAATCAGTTTGGGGGGAAATTCATCCAATAAGCATTAGATGATCACCAGGGCTAGCTGGCTCAATTAGTCCTTTTGGGCCAGTGAGGAGATCAGGGGAGAATTAGCTGTGGGATCCCATTTCCCCCCAAATAAGAATCAGAAGAGCCTGTTGGATAAGGCCAATGGCCCAATCTGCTCAGCATCCTGTTCTCACGAAGCCTGCTAGCAGGATCCGAGTGCGAGAGCCCTCTCCCCTTCTGACGCTTCCAGCTGTGTGGGGCACAGCATGGTCATGGTGGCTAGAAGCCATTGATAGTCCCCCTACTCCGTGAATTTGTCTAGTCCTCTTTTAAAGCTGTCTGGCTTGGTGGCCGTCACTGCCTCCTTGTGGGAGGGAGTTCCACAGTTTAACTCTGCACTGCATGGAGAAGGACTTTCTTTTATTTACTCTGAATCTTCCAACACTTTGGATGTCCACGAATTCTGGTGTCATGAGAGAAGGAGGAGAGATGAAACAGGGGTTGCCATGAAACAGGGGTCAGGTGGCCATCTGCCAAAGGGGTTCTTTAGCTGGGATTCCTTGCACTGCCGCGGGTTGGACTGGATGACCCTCGGGGGGCCCCCTCCCAGGTCTACAGTTCTGTGATTCCGTCTACGTTGCTTACACTCCTTCCCCCACCCGCTCTGCCTAGGTCGCTAGATGGGTCTCCTCGCGGCAGCGACGACCAGTCGCCTTTGTACCTGCATTCTTCCAAGTGCAGCTCCTGCGGTTCGCAATCCCCCCAGCATTCTGAGATGTGCCTTCATACCCCCGGCTCACACTTCGGAGAAGAGATGGGAGAAACGCAATCGGAATACTCCGACTCCAGTTGTGGTGAGCCCAGACCAATCCATTTCATGGTTATTTCGGCAAAGGAGTTCCGTAGCTCGGCGCAGGGACACCTGCTTGGCTTGCAGAAGGCCCCGGCGGGTTCAATCCCAGGTTGGCGCTGCCAGGCAGGGCTGGGATTGCCCTCTGCCTGAAACCCTGGAGAGCATTGTGGGCGATAGCGGATCAGACGGCGCAATGGTCTGATTCGCCATAAAGCAAGATTCCCTATGTTCCCTGCACGCTCTCATTTCCCCTGCTTGCTCACTCTACGGGCACACAATATATAGGTACCCAGAAGCCAATCTCTGGCCTTATAAGATGCAACACATAGCAAGCAGGAAACCCCTCTTCTGCCAATGAAATCCGTTCAGATAATGATTGGGTGGCTTTCCCAATTCAAAGGTTGTTTTTTTAAAAAAGCTCTCTTAAAAAAACAAACCAGAGTCAAATGGTTTGCTTCTGGAACCAGATCATTCCTGTGCCACACATCCCTTTCAGAGTCTCATCCGCACAATCCAAATATTGCATCCCTTAATTCGGAAATTCAGAACATCCCGAATTCAGGTTCCGAAAACCTAAAGCCAAAGCGATCCAAGGCTCTGAAATTCTCCAAAATTGGACTGAAAATTTTTCATATTTGATTTAAAAAAACAACAACCACCCAAAATGTATTTCTATAGCTCCAGCAACATCTGGTTTAGAATCTCTATTTGTGGGGGAGGGGTGGGCAAAGCCGTTTCACATCCTTTCGGATCACATAGTGCTGTACAAACCTCTTTTGCAGAGGCCAGACGTGTCTTTTGTAGGATAAGGCCTGGATTGGGGGAGGAGGGAGTGTCAAGCCACCCATCCAACATTGTGCGCCACCCTGCTGGCATGTAGCCCTGAGGTCCCCTGCTCCACCCACACGCCTGGAGTTTTGCACAGCGCCCCTTCCCCCTCCCCAGAAACTGAGCTGGATCAGCTCTGGTACCAGTGCCAATGGGGCTTTATATTAATGGCAGGGTCTCCTGGCATTTGCCCCATTTGCAATTTCGCCTCTGCCCTAGAGCATGCAGCAGCTGTTTATCTTACCCAATGCATCTGTAGTCCACCTTTTCCTCCTCCAAGGAGTGAAGTGAAGGACATGAGGCAGGAGTTGATAATGCAGGTGAGCTGCGCACAGGTGAGCTGCAAGCAAGCTGCCGGCCAGCTCTGTGGAGGCTCCTTTTATTGACACAATATGCAAACCCAGGCAGATACATTTTGGGCTGCGACCTTTGCACATCTTCCAGTCCCGAGATTGTGAGGTGGTACAAAGCTATTCTGGCACCTGTTTCCACCGTGTCATTTTCCCCTTGCACAGTGTGTGACGAAGGAGACAAAGGTCTCAGAGACAAAGGTCACAGACAGGACATGGCAGACTACTGAGACCGCAAAACGTTAGACAGAGGGCAAGATGTTCAAACAGCTGTGGCTTTATATGTGAGGGGGAGTGCGCTCCATACCCAGCGATCATTCCTACAGAGGAGCTTGAGGTGGAGCACATGGCTCCCGCCTCCTCCCTTTAAACCCCACAACGACAACCCTACGAGGTAGGCTAGGCTGAGAGAAGGCAGTGACTAGCCCCAAAAGTCAAACCCAGCGAGTTCATGGGGATTCAAACCCAAGTCCGCCACAAGCAGTAGGCCACGTTGTCTCTGGCGGATGAGGATTTCCAGGAAGGAGGAATTACCCACTGGACCCTCCCATCCCCCAAGCAGCAATATCTGCACAAGCTAGCCCCCCTGTGTGTGTTTGTGTGTGCTTAGCTGTTGCGCTTAGCTTCCTCTGACTCCCGGCCGCCTCTTCCTCCTTCGGTTCCCCCGACAGAGAACGGAACCTTTTTCTGCAACGAGTGCCACTGCCGCTTTTCGGAAGAGGCGTCGCTGAAGAGACACTCCCTCCAAATGCACAGCGACAAGCCCTACAAGTGTGACCGTTGCCAGGCCTCCTTCCGCTACAAAGGAAACCTTGCCAGCCATAAAACTGTGCACACAGGTACGGCGCTTCCGGGCCGCCACAGGGGCAGGGGAGAGGTCTGTCGGGATGGTGGACGGTCAGGCCGAGGGAGCCGTGCGGCCTGGGGCCGTGGAACCGCAGGATTGCCGGGTTGGAAGGGGCCTCAAGCGGTCATCTAGTCTGACCCCCTGCAATGCAGGGATCCCGGACAGACAGCCCTCTGAGCTCTGTTTAAAAGTCTCCGGCGAAGGAGGGTCCACCACCCTCCGAGGTCATACGATCACGGAACCGTAGAGCTGGAAGAGATCCCTTGCAACACGGTAATCGCAGCTAAAGAACCCCTGACAGTTGCCCACCCAAGCTCTGCTTGAAAACCTCGAATGAATCATTGAAGGGCTCCCCAAGGGACATCTAGTCCAACCCCCTGCAATGCAGGAATCTCAGCTATAGTATCCCTGGCAGATGGCCGTCCAACTTCTGCTAAAGCACCTCCAAGAAACAATAGTCCACCAGCTCCTCAAGGAGTCCATTCCACCTTCCATTTCCCCCCGTATGTCTGGCTGAAATGAAACTAAACCCCAAAAACCTTCAGTGAGGACCAAAAGTGGGAGAACCGGTGCAGGAATGGGAACCTCCAGATTAATGGCGGACCACAATTCCCGCCTTCCCTGACCAGTGTCTGAGGACGGTGGGAATTTGTGTCCCTGCACAGTGTTGAGGTGCCCTTTTTCGAGGGACAAAGCTGTTTCTGTTTGTAAAGCACTTTGTGATCTGTGGCAGCGGAAGGATCTGAGACAGGCAGTATCATCGAGTTAAGGGAGCGAGCTTTGAGCCAGGGAGTCAGCAGTTCAAATGACCTCGCCTTGGCCATGGACTCTCTGGCTGGCCTTTGCAACCTCCGCTCCTCATCTGTAAAATGGGGGCAAACCCTTATCCGGTTCTGGGGAAATCATGAGGGGTGCTCACATGTAATGTTTTAACGAGTATGCAACCTGGGTACGCAAAAAGCTGAGCTGTATCCTTGTAGAGTTATTCACATGCAACATGGAAAACAGTGTACGCAGTGTAGGCATCTGTGTACGCTGTAGGTTTGGTTGTGTTGGATGAAGGTACATTATTATTATTATTATTATTAATAATAATAATACCTCACCCTTCTGGCTGGGTTTCCCCAGCCACTCTGGGCGGCTTCCAACAAAATATTAATGTTAAACAAACATGTTAAACATGTTAAACAAACAAAATGTTAAACATTAAAAGCTTCCCTAAACAGGGCTGCCTTCAGATGTCTTCTAAAAGTCTGGTAGTTGTTTTTCTCTTTGACATCTGGTAGGAGGGCCTTCTCGGTGGTGGCTCCCGCCCTGTGGAACACCCTCCCATCTGATGTCAAGGAAATAAACAGCTATCTGACTTTTAGAAGACATCTGAAGGCATCCCTGTTTAAGGAAGTTTTTAATGTTTGATGTTTTATTGTGCTTTTAATATTCCGTTGGGAGCTGCCCAGAGTGGCTGGGGAAACCCAGCCAGGTGGTCGGGGTATAAATAATAAATTATTATATCATTAAGGTCCCAGGTTAAACTCCCCATGGCATCTCCAGGCAGGGCTAGGAGATGCTGCCAGCCTGTGTTGACAATACTGAGCTGCAGGGGCCAATGGTTTGGCTCGGTATAAGGCGACTTCCTATTCCGCTCTTATGCATTTGGGTCCTTGGCGCTGAGAGTTTTGAAGGTGAGGGGGCACCGTAGTCGCCCAGGCCCCATTCCTTACCCAAAGGAGCGCCCTCCCTTCTAGGCGGGCCACACACACTTTCATAGAAGCACCTTCTCTTTTTCTTTCTTTTGCTTCATACCGCGACACTAAACAGGCTCCGTTCTGTTTGTCGAGACAGGCGAGAAGCCGTATCGCTGTAGCATCTGTGGGGCCCAGTTCAACCGGCCGGCCAACCTGAAGACCCACACGCGGATCCACTCGGGAGAGAAGCCCTACAAGTGCGAGACCTGTGGGGCGAGGTTCGTCCAGGTGGGTAGTTGATAGGTGGAGATGACTCTGTGGACTCCCTGGGTGGCGGGATTGAGAATTTAGCCATATTAGCAGAACTTGAGTGATACTTGTGAACACAAATACCTTTTGTGGAGTAGACGGGAACAATACAGTGGTACCTCGGGATGTGAACGGGATCCTGAAGTGGACCTAAGATGCGCAGGCGCGGGTTGCGTTTCTCCGCTTCCACGCATGCGCATGACATCATTTTGAGCGTCTGCGCATGCGCGAGTGGCGAAACCCAGAAGTAACGCACTCCGTTACTTCCAGGTCGCCACGGAGCGCAACCCAAAAATATTTAAGCCGAAGCGTATTCATCCCAAGGTTTGACTGTATTAAAGAATATAAAACACTGCGGAAAAAACGACAGTATAAACAGTACAATGAGAATGATTGGAAGACTTGTTTTGTCAGAAGACTTTTTTATTTAAGTGTTTATTTAAGTATTAATTAGGAAGATTAAGTTTTTTTAATGCACGTAAATCTGCTTTTTCTTTTTTTCTGTATTTTCTTCTTTTCTTTTTTCTTAATTCTTTTTTCTTTAATTTCCTTTTTGTAGTATGAGATTGTAAATTCTTTGTATATGTGTGTAATTTAAATTAATAAAGATTATTAAAAAGAGAGAGAGAGAGAGAATTTGGCCCTTCTGGAACCCCTCTGCCAACACCAAAGGGGGTCTTTCTTTTGTGTGTGTGTTTTGTTTTGTTTTAAATTTTGTAACGTAATCTTTATTGCATTTTAAAAATTTACAGAAAAAGAGAATAAATTCAGCCTTACACCCACGTGTACTAAAAAGAAAAGAAAATACATAAAAGAAAATTGTAAAAAGAAAAAGATCTTTGTCAAATACACAAAATTATTTAAGGAGTACAAACCATAATTTGAATATTCTACGCACAAAATTCATAGAAAGAAGTTACCTTCATATTTCTTCTTTCCTCCCCCCCCCCCCCTTACAGTCACGTTCTTTCTGTTCCCCGAAACTGGTTTGAGTCCCTTATATGTTTATTGACTTCCCTCTAACTCTTTGCGGCTTCAACACTTCTCTTACATTTAAGTAATCTCTATTCAGTTGTAAAAAGAAAATTCCCTTATTCCTGTGAGGTTAATCTAGGCACACAACCAAGAATCGTTACTGGAACCATATTTTGTCAGGTAGTTTTTAAAGCAATCCCATTCTTTTTTTTAACCTTGTCGCCTGAGCGGTTTCTTATTAATCCTGTTTCTTTTGACGCCCCAAATGAACTCGTGGGAACTGCCCCTCTTGACCACCTGTATTCCTTTCACCAGGTAGCACACCTGAGAGCTCATGTGCTGATACACACCGGCGAGAAGCCCTACCCGTGCGAAATCTGTGGGACCCGATTCCGGCATCTGCAGACCCTCAAGAGTCACCTGCGAATCCACACTGGGGAAAAGCCCTACCATGTAAGTCGTGGCGTCTGAATGCCCCATGGTGGAGATTTCTGCATTGCAGGGGGTTGGACTAGATTTCCCACGGGGTCCCTTCCAATTCTACAATTCTAGGATCTTGTAAGCCAGGCTACACCACGCTGGTACTTTCCCCTAGCAGCTAGCAGTGGCCAAAACCCTGGATGGCTTTAAAAGTCGTGGTTTTATTAATTCTCAGGCCACAGGCCATTTGCGTATAAGATGAATAGGTACAGCGCAGAAACACACAATATAAAATACTGTATAAAATCACATTGCTACTTAGAAGCATGCATCTTAAAAATACTGCATAAATCACATGTAACGTAGATAAAACTTACATATTGAAAGCACTAAATTTAATACAGAGAAAAAGCATTGCTTATTGAAAGGTAAAGGGACCCCTGACCATTAGGTCCAGTCGCGGACGACTCTGGGGTTGCGGCACTCATCTCGCTTTATTGGCCGAGGGAGCCGGCGTACAGCTTCTGGGTCATGTGGCCAGCATGACTAAGCCGCTTCTGGCAAAACCAGAGCAGGGCAAGGAAACGCCGTTTACCTTCCCGCTGGAGTAGTACCTATTTATTTACTTGCACTTTGATGTGCTTTCGAACTGCTAGGTTGGCAGGAGCAGGGACCGAGCAACGGGAGCTCACCCCATCGTGGGGATTCGAACTGCCGACCTTCTGAACCGCCGACCTAGGCAGGTCCTAGGCTCTGTGGTTTAACCCACAGCGCCACCCGCGTCCCATATGCATAGCTTGGCTTAGTTAGTTAGTTAGTTAGTTAGTCTAGGCACAACCAAACTTTCATATTTGAGCCCTGCTTGTATAAATATTCATTTAAGCATTCCCATTGTTTCTGAATTATAATTTTTGGTTTATGCCTTATTAAATCCGTCAGTTTTGCTAACTCCAGGTACTCACATAGTTGACTTAACCATTCCCCTTTTGTTGGGATATAATTTCCTTTCCAATGACTGGCTACCAACGTTCTCGCTGCTGCTGTTGCATACAGAAAGACCAGACAAGACAATTTATCCCTGTTGTTCTTAGAGCCCTGATCTGACGCCTTTTCGCTTTTTCTCCTCTCCCCTCCCCTCCAGTGTGAAAAGTGCAACCTGCACTTCCGCCACAAAAGCCAGCTGCGCCTCCACTTGCGCCAAAAGCACGGCGCCATCACCAACACCAAGGTGCAGTACCGCGTCTCGACAGTGGAAGGCGCCGCTGAGCTCCCGAAGGCTTGCTGAAGGAAGGACCTGTTTCTCGGGAGAAGAGGGTCTGGCTTAGGAGGAGGAGGAAGGGCAGTGGGGGCGATGTCCAAAGGAAACTTGTAACACTTTAGGGGAGGGGGGACAAAAACTTTATTATTCTTTATTGTCACACAATGGAGTGCCTCTCGAAGCCCGGAGTGCAGTTGCAAAGGAGGAAGAGAGAAATAGTATAATGACACGGGTTTTACATTTCCTTTTTGTTTTTTCCTGCTTCCCAGTTATGTGAATTTTCAAAAAAGTATATATATATCTATATATCTCTCTATATATATCTATATATATATAGTCAGATCGACATTTTGTGTGTATGTGTGTGTGCGCGTGTGTGTGTTTACGTGCAAGAGAGTTTGGGTTTTGGAGCTGGGGGGGTGGAGAACCCCTGTGTTTTAAAAGTCTGCGCTGCAAAAGGCCTGACCCTTTCACAGCCAGGAGACGAGGAATGTAGATTGTTTCATGGGAACAAATTGTTATTTCTTTTTTCTTTTTCTTTTTGCAAATGAAATTGTGTGTTTTTTAACGAAAGAGCGGGGGCGGCGGGCGGGGAGATTGTATATCCTATCAGAATGGAGAGGGCTTTAACTTTTTAACCAAAGGTGATGGAATCTATGGCAGAGTTGTAAATATATGAATATATATATATATAAATAAATATATAAAAAATATAAACCTTTAAAAAAGAGATATTAAATGCATATATATATATATATATATATATACACACACACACAGACACACACACACATATATACATATATATATATGCATTAAAGTCTCCTGCTAGGCCTCTGCAGGCAGATGGCTGATCCGGGAGTCTTTATTGTGACAAAGCACTTAACAAGATATTTTAAAAAGTATTGCATCTGTATTAGTGAGAAAATATTTTGTCTAAGAGCATTGAGTGTGTATTTGTATTTTTTGCAAGTGAAGGTTTACAATTTACAAAAAAAAGAGTGTGTATTAAACCAACAAAGCTGCAGAAGGAATTTAAAATAATTTAAAAAAACGTAATTTTGTGTTCTGTTTTCCTTCTTTCTTTCTTTCCTTTCCCCCAGTCTGTATATATGTACAATGTTCGTTTGGGGTTTTATTTTTATTTCTCTCTTTTTTTTTGCGTTTTCTCACAGTGCCTTTCTTTTCGACTAAATTAGAGCCCAGTTTTGAGGTACGGTGTCGCTATAAAGGGGGTCGTTGCAGACTCTTGATGGAGAATGTCAGGTGTTGTTGTTTTTTTTAAAGATAATAATAATTTGGTCTCATTTTATACACTTGTGTTACAATCAGTCAATCTCGGGTGACAGGGTTTGGGGGTGTGTCAAACTGCATTAATGCGTTCTGTAAAATATAGCTGTACAAATTCAAAAATAAAACGGCAGAAAGCAACCATGAGCAAGGCTGTGTGGTGTGTTTTTTTCCCTTCCTACCCGCCCCAGCAGCTGTTTCTTGAGAAGGCATCCCTTTATGTCAGTTCAAGGTCCAATGCAGCGTTCCTCAACCTGGTGCCCTCCTGGTCCCCAGAATTCAAACTCTCACCCATTCCCAGCCAGCAAGACTATTCTCCTTTGGCTTCTCATGTTGCCTGGAGCTGATGGGAAGTGGAGGATGCAGGGACAAGTCTTGGAAGCAATTCCTCCTAACCCATCAGTAGGCAAACTAAGGCCCAGGGACCGGATCTGGTCCAATTGCCTTCTCAATCCGGCCCGCGGATGGTCCGGGAATCAGCGTGTTTTTACATCAGTAGAATGTGTCCTTTTATTTAAAATGCATCTCTGGGTTATTTGTGGGGCATAGGAATTCGTTCATCCCCCCCCCCAAAAAAATATAGTCTGGCCCCCCCACAAGGTCTGAGGGACAGTGGACCGGCCCCCTGCTGAAAAAGTTTGCTGACCCCTGTCCTAACCTGACCGAGTGGGTTCTGGTGTATCCACACATATCAGTCAAATGCTATCTCACAGATGACAAAAGTTGTAACTTCAAGATGAGAGTGACCCTGCTTCCCTTCACCTCTGAACACCAAGGCATAGTCAGCTGAACCATACAGAAATAAAAACCAGTCCACATGTATTAATTTGTGAAATCCTCTCTTAATGAGCAACTTCTCACCCCCTGGTAAGAAGGTTAACCACTTCCAGAGGGGCTGGAGATCTGTTCATCTCTTGCAGGAAACGCAAAAGAGAATCTTGTGGCATCCTAGAGACTAAACAAATTTAGTATAGGTTAAGCCACTGGTTCCTAAACTTTTTCGCCCTCGCCCCTACAAGTTCCATATATTCCTTCCCAGTGGCTCCTACCCTGTAAAAAGCATTATTCAGAATAGTGGTTTGCACAAACCACTAAGGAAAGTAAGGACTCAATAAAATTCGAAGTAGTTGCAACTTCACTGAAAACTGGTCGCTTCATCTGCCCCAGCTGCAACAAAATATGTCCCTCCTGTATTGGTCTCTACAGCCACAGGTTTGACCTCACCCCTCAAGGCGCATTTTCCACTGTCTCCTGAGACAGACAGATGCCAACAAGTACAGTTGTACCTTGGAAGTCAAACAAAATCCATTCTGGAAGTCCGTTTGACACCCGAAACGTTCAGAAACCAAGGCACAGCTTCCGATTGGTTTCTGATTGTGCAGGAGCACCGGAAACAATAGCAGAAGCCACACCGGACGTTCGGCTCCCAAAAAACATTCGAAAACCAGAACACTCACTTCCAGTTTTCGATAGTTCGGGAGCTGGAACATTTGACTCCCAAGGGATTTAGGAGCCGAGGTACAACTGTAAAACTATTTAGTTTAATGAATTCAACGGAATTAATGAACTTGATCCAGTGATAGCAGTTTTCCAAAGTCCGATAGCCATTTATACCTTTATTTTCCAACAGCTGTGGCCACTTGGCTCTTACCACCTCCCCTAGGTAACCCTCACTATCCCCTTTGGGAACCACCAGTTTAAGATTTGGGGACAACAGCATGAACACAGCTGATGAAGTGGAAACTTATAGTCTGTGAAAACTTACACCATAATCTTTTTAAAAAAATAATATTTTTTTATTAATTTCCCACATTTTTAACATCCTCACAATATTCATCTTTCATCTCTACTTAATAAGTTCTTTTGAACCTTTGAACTCCCCTCTACCCCTCCATGGCTTCTTTCTTTATCCCCTAATTAATTGCATCTTTCACGTTTTCCAAATCATTATATAAATCATCAGTAAAATATAGTAGACTTTCACATTACAAGTACCTTCACAGTCCCGCCAGTGTCTTTAGATTTTTACAGTGATCTTTTAAACAAGGCACGCATTTCTTCCAGTCCTTTTCAAATACTTGATCTTCCTGGTTTTGGATCTTTCTCGTCACTTTCGCCATCTCCACGTAGTCCATCAGTTTCGCTTGCCACTCCTCTTTCGATATACCAAGAAAAAAGCACACCAAGACCCCAGGCTAGACAGGGCCCTGTTTCGGTGTATTTACCTTCATCAGCTGGAAGTATCAAATATTACATGAAAATACATTTAAATTCTAAATTATCATAAATTATAAAACAGTCATAAAGTATAAAACAGTATTATATAACATTTGCTTCCTTAACTAATTTTTAAAGGGTCGTGTAAGTTTGAAGAATTCGTATAGATATATCCTCTTATTTTCTATGTTTCTCAGAGATAACAACTGAAAATAATCAATATTAATAATAATTACACGTGTTTTGTAAACTAAGAAAAACTTTAATAAAAATACATTAAAAAAAAAAAAAGATTGGTGAGCCCTGCTATGTTGCTTCTAAAAGCCTCAGAATCGTACGTCACACTGGAAACTGCAGATTTACACCAGGCAGCAAAACGTGAGTTTTTTCTGGGTCGAAGGGAAGCTTATAGTTTGACAATAATTATTCCCAATTTATTTTCTGAGAGGCAAGGGGCATTTCAGCTGCAACACCCACCAAAGCAAAGTGGCCCAGTTAATTGTCTACCCTCAAATCGACGGTCAGATCCCTTCACGCACAGCAACCATGGTGAAGAATATACTGGAACGTTGAAAAACATCCAGTGTGGTAGAGTGGTAAGAGCATCAGACTAAGCCCCAGCAGTATTGCAAAATAAAAATGTCCAAAGTCCGTTTCAGAGGCCTAATCCACAAGGCCCTCATGCATGTTCACTTCATCAAATCTGGCCCTCTTTGAAAAAAGTTTGGGCACCCTTGGGCTAATCAAATGCCACTGACAGCAAGAACGACAATTTCCACTACAACCACCAGGTGGCAGATTGAGGCAAGATTTAAGTATCATGTGAACAGTAAATATGTTTTGGTGGGTAACTTTACTTCCATGGGGATAGAGTCAACTAACTAGACCCACTGAAATTAATGAACATTACCATGCATTTCAATGAGTCTACTCGGAGTCTTCTTCTTTCTTCTTTGGCGATCTCTCGTAGCTGAGTAAGATTATCTGCCATAAACACGGTTTTAACAGTGAGTCCATAAGTGACGGTGGAGGCCAATTCTGGATCCACACATCCTTCCACAGTGGGGACATGGGTTTCCGGGCAAGAGGTGATCACGGTGTGGATTTGCTAAGTGTGCCTTCCTCTTAGCACCTTTCTCCCTTGCCTCCTGAGTTCGAGCGTAATGCTGGTGGTCAACAAAAGAGGGTGAGAAACTGTCTCAAGGCAAATCTTTAAAAATGTAGTATAAACACCGACAATTGGGAAACATTGGCCTGCAAGCGCTCCAGTTGGAGAACAGCCTTGACCAAAGGTGTCATGGGCTTTGAAGACACTTGAACTCAGGACGTAAGGGAGAAACGTGCTAAGAGGAAGGCACGCTTGACAAATCCACACCGGGATCAACTCCCGCCCGGAAACCAATGTCCCCACTGTGGAAGGATGTGTGGATCCAGAATTGGCCTCCTCATTTACTTACGGACTCACTGTTAAAACCGTGTTTATGGAAGACAATCTTACTCGGCTACGAGGGATAACCAAAAAGAAGAAGAAGATACACAGCGCTTTTACATTACATTCCAACAGGTCGCAAAGATCAAATTCTTGCAACTGCTGAGCAAGTATTATGTGGCACCCGTGACAATGCCAGTTCTGCAACAGTAGTGGCAAATCCATATAGGAGACAATTATGGTGCCAAAGCAGGCTGTTAAAGTCACTCTAACGTTCAACTCAAAAAAATTTAGGCTATACAAAAAAGGTTGAATGTCTGCTATAGAGCCTGATACCCAGTGGAGGGCAGAGGAGTACCTGATTTCTCCAACATCAAACAAGAGCTGCTTAGCTCAAAGAATCTTTAGCTGTTCTTAATATTTCTGCATTGCACCGAATATTCAGTAGGACACCAGACATCCAAGCACCCCAGATTTGGAATGGCACTTATTTTGCTCTCAAAGTTGGTCCAGGTGATTTGGCCGGGATATGAAGCACAGACAAGTGATGGGCAGAACAATCTAGCGATATGAAACAGAAGGGCAGGGAAAATTACCCAGAAACATAAACTTGAAATAAATAAACAAAAACCAAAAGTTTAGGAAGGGTTGTCATCTTTACAGCGCCAAGTCTGCTGAGAGGGGAGAAATTAAGGGGCTCCCGAGAATTTAACTAAGAATTGATAAGTCTAATTGCTGGAGTAAAAAAGGTAAAGGTAAAGGAGCCCTGGATGGTTAAGTCCAGTCAAAGGCGACTATGGGGTTGCAGCACTCATCTCACTTTCAGGCCAAGGGAGCTGGCATTTGTCCACAGACAGCTTTCCGGGTCAAGTGGCCAGCAGGCCTAAACCGCTTCTGGCACAACGGAACACAGTGGTGGAAACCAGAGCGCACGGAAACACTGTTTACCTTCCCACCGCAGCAGTACCTATTTATCTACTCGCACTGGTGTGCTTTTGAAGTGCTAGGTTGGCAGGAGCTGGAACAGAGCAATGGGAGCTCACACCGTAGTGCGGATTCGAATCACCAACCTTCCGATCGGCAAGCTCAAGAGGCTCAGTGGTTTAGACCACAGCGCCACCCGCATCCCCTAATTGCTGGAGTATTGCTCAGCTGAAATGATTTGTGCAAATTTATGGGAATCCGTAGCCCTCAACAGAAAACAGAATCAGGGCATATCTGAATGGCCTGGCGTGCTCTGGTCCATGGGGTCACGAAGAGTCGGACACAACTGAACGACTAAACAACAACAACAGCCTGGAGAAGAAAAGAGAGATGGATGATATGAGAGCCATCTTCAAATATCCAAAGGGTTGTCACTTGGAAGAGGGAGCAGATTTGGTTACTTCTGCTCCAGAGAGTAGGACCTGGACCAATGGCTTCAAGTTACAAGAAAGGATATTCTGACTCAACATCAGCAAGAGATTTCTGATGGTAAGAGCTGTTTGATGGTGGAACAGACTCCC